AAGGTTTGGTTGTCGTGTTGAAGTAACAGGGAAAGATGTTTTTGGGACAGTTGCTTTTGTCGGAGCAACACAATTCTCACCAGGTAAAAAAAAGTTCTGTTCTCATCACGGACTTAGGAAAATGGGTGGGTGTAATACTAGACGAGCCCAAAGGGAAGAACAACGGCACGGTTCAGGGGAAACGCTACTTTACATGCGAGGAAAATTTTGGGATATTTGTGCGCCCATCTCAGGTATGTTTTATTTTAAACGGTTTTGTGCGTTGTTTGTATCCTTTTATGTATCAGTGCAACTTCATTCCGGCAGGTCACAGAGTGCAAATTACACCCTTGGTGGCCAGAACTTGAGTTGTGTGCCATCAGAACGCGATCTAGGCCTTATTTTAACAGAAAAGCTAGACACCAGTGTGAATTACACGAGGGACGTCGCCAAAGCTTACGCCACTTTACACTTTATGCATAGGCAGCTGGGAGCTCTTACTCCTGAACTATTCCTAACGTTGTATACGACATACGTGCGGCCACTCCTTGAGGTGCATAATATCATTGCTCCTCCGCTACTCAAAAGGGATGCTAACATGCTAGAAAGTGTCCAGAGACGAGCGACAAAATGGGTGATCGGCCTCTGCAACAAATCATATGAGGAGAGACTGAAGAAATTAAGTCTTTTCACACTTAGTTACCGTAGTCACAGGGGAGACCTCATCACCGGCTATAAGATCTTAAATGACCAGGCCCACCCTAATAAGAGCATCCTGCCATTAAGTGATTATAGGCTTCCACGAGGTAACCCGCTGAGGATAGCACACCAGAGACCAAGGACTCGAGTGCGTTCACATTTCTTCTCGCTTCGAGTTTGCCGTCTCTGGAACGCTTTACCGGCGGCCGTAACTACAGCTCCATCTGTGGAGACTTTTAAGCGGAAGCTGGACAATCATGCAGAAATGCATGGTTTGTGTCTCAATGGCTTATCCTCTTAAAATTTGAAACCACATTGTCAATGGATAAGCATACAAGCTAAATCCCCACGACCCGTCCTGTCTTCTCCCACTGTACCGACTACTCTATCTTTTCTTTCTTTCTTTATTATTTCACTTATCTCAACCTATATTATCTACACTACAACCTATTATTATTTATGACTATACCGAATGACCAACGGGTGTTAGGTCAAACTCCATTCACGGCAGCAGCTGAGTCCTAACATACTGCACAATACAAACCACAATATTGACCAATCCTCGCACCACTCCTCTTGGAGTCTACCAGAGCTAAAGCAGTCGAGTGGCGGGATTTACTACGCATAAGTTCACCGAAGATCTGGAACCTCTACCTTACAATCAAGAAGCGAGCTCAAAGAAATCACTGGTTTATACTAGCTCGTAATCAGGATATTGGATATATTGGATGCTTATCATAAGAAGTCCTTACTACCAGGGACTCGATGGTATTATTTATTTGTTTATCACTTCATTTATGATGAATTCGCACGTTGCTCTTATTTTAATAAGTCATCAGAGCTCGTGTTAGTAATTTGCAGGTAGACATTATCAAGATCATTGCAAATGTTAATTAAATATATCTCATATAATTGTATAGTACCAGTCTATTCTTCAAGTGCTAGGTTGTATTTATAATTTTAGAAATGTTATTTACTGAGGTTCTCTGCTGAGAGTAGGGGTCAGTCTTTACAGTCCCTAGGATAAACTGGTTCATATGCAGTTCAGTGTGAATCATGATGTTCGAAAACCATATATCGTGGTTTTGACACTTATAGCTTCGTAGCACTAATAGTGCATACATGATTCCTTACTCATTTCGTGCATCCTAACGGTTTTCGATTTGTATTTGTTGATCTCACCTCCATTCTATAATATCTTTCTCATCAATGTCGCATTACCCTATTTAGCTTTTTCAGTCCTTGCACTCCATATTTATATCAAATTATGAAAAGGTATTCCCAGCCCCGTGAAACTGGATTCCCAACTGAATATTGAGTCTACTGGTATCCTTACTCTGCGTGGAATTATATTGTAGTATTGTCCAGACCAGGCGAAGTTAAACTATCATAACCAAAGTTACAGTGACTTTGGGCAACCAATTAGAATTCAGATAAAAACGGGTCGCACAATCTTTGGGAAAATGCATTAATGCACATTATGAATACGATATTACACTGAATAATTGTCGCTTATGTGTTGCAAGAATATCTCCCATTCGCTAACCGGACAACCTAAAGAGAAGTCATACCATGCGCGATAGGTGACTGTTGCTCGGGATACTTTGAGATCCACTGATGTTTCTGACACTGTTCTTTAACATACACCTAACTCTGACCGTAATCCTAACCTTGATTTTAAAAGCCATAACAGTAGGATACCTAGCAGTGCATATTCACAGAAAAAGTACATGGGAACAAGTAGAATACTGCATCTACTCTCGCCAAATTCTAAACAGTAAGCATGATTTGATTTCGATTGACATTTCTTAGCGTTCCCTAAATCTGACTGGTTCTTGAAGGCCCACTTTTGACAGACCTTGACTTCTGCTATGATACTTTAACTTTGCCAGGACCTGAATCCAACTGTAGTCTCCAGCCTATAGAGCTTATGGCACTAGAGCATCCAAAGGGCTTAATCAACATGGTGTTGGGACTTACTGTCATTTCTGTGGACTAATTGTTTCGTAACATTTCCTTAGGAAACGATAACTTTTATGCTTGCTCAGCCTTTGCTTCAATATTCACCAGACAGTTGATTTCCTTTTCTACTTCCGACTGTTAGTTTCAAGCATACCGTAATATATTAAATAACAGACAGTGTGTCCCCTGAAAAATATACTGCTAAAACATTGTTTATCCAATTGTTTGTGAGACGTTAGGAATGTGTACGATATATTCTTTGTTTTCTAAGAAACTGGAGTTGGTGCTCATTGGCTTTAGAACTTAACTTCAAGCCAGTGGACACCGGGCTTTAATCCCATCTCACTTATTGCAACATGAGCAACTGATTAGTACCATATGCCTTCTAACCATCGCCTCCCCCGACGGGCATTACTAGCTGATAGAGGTGCAGGTTGGAAAAGATTAAGTGGTGGCCAAACAAAAACATGGCCTCATCAATCCATGAAATCCTTGACAGTTAAACTGAGTCAGGTAGGGAGATGCAGACTTCCGGGTTGGGGCCTGCCCTCGGGACTCTAAGAATCAATGGCTGGAGACAATAGGTGACATGGCTCAAAATCGTTGTCAATGGCTTACGCAGATGTATTCAGTCTCTGTAATCTTTCATATTCCTTTCTACCATTACTCATTCTGTTTCACTCTTATACTTATCAAAACTCTGTTGATTCTCTTCACTCATTTTCTTGTCTACTCTTGTGTGCTATTCGGAACGTGTCAACTCGAACTGCTGCACTTCGGTGCCAAGTTCTATGTTGAATCCAGCCAGCACCATATACCTTTATATAACGTGTAATTCGTAGGTGGGCACATAAAATATATTTTCTCGGTAGTTGCGTTCTTTCAAATATAATTTCTCACTCCCACAATTGTTTGAACCGACACCTATCTCAACTTTAGAAAGTCACTTTGTCATCACGTGGTGAAATGGAAAGGCCTACGCACTTTCGTTATCTACTTCTTTAGTGAAATATCTGTATATCTGCTAGGTGTCAAGAATACATCAGCATGCGCCGTTACATTACGCCAGTGTTTAATCATCAGTATTGAATCTGCAAAGATTACATTCATTTATTCTACACACCACCTCTCTTGTTTATAACTGTCAATCGTCTGAGTTGGTTATGTCATTCGTTACGCCTACTTACCACCTACCATGGCCTGTTGAGTTAAGGGCGGCCATATCCGTACTCAGCCAATCACTGAATTCATGACTGTTAATCCATTTAATTTGGAAAAGTGCAACTTGCTTTCTGTGGTCGAATTAACTACGAAAACTCGTGACTAAGGATCGTGGGTGATGGGGATCGAAATAAATCATACTGACACAAACGTATTCTCATCTTTTTATTTTAAATGTGTTGTTACATACTTTGTTTCTGTCCTTTTATTTCAAAATATTTTACCACTTCTGATAACATTATTAACATCACTTCTCTATTCTTATATATGATATATATATATATATATATATATATGGTTTCTTGAACCATCATACAATCATGCAAATCCTTACATTAATAATGACAGGATAATAGCAATATGACTCCATTCAAATTCTGTTTAGTCCAATATCCAGGACATATTTTAATTCTCTTGTCCCGTATTGTGCCATTTTTCTGTTTTATTATGTTTAGGACTATTTACAGTGTTTTTCTTTGAGTGATATTATGATATGTGTCAGGTGGTTGAGAATGCGAACCGTAATGGGTTTTCGCCACTTTGTTTAAGTCAATTCGTGTTTTTCTCATTGATTAGTTGAACGGAAATTTTCGACTTCTGTAGACATGCCGGCTCTTAATGCGGACTATCCGATGATGTTTGAGGAACAGTGATGTTACTTGCTGCCGAAGTGGCTTAGTGGTTAACACTGGCTTTTAAACGACGGGGGCTGGGTTTGATTCTCAGCAGAAATACCATCACACACACTGGGGATTGCAGTTATCTCTAGATGACGAGTCCCAAACGAGACAGAACGTACTTCCGGGATTCCACTGATGGTCACTATACACCAAATAACATGACAAATATGAGTCTGGAGTTTGTAACAAAGTAAATTAACTGATATTTATTGTTAAATTTGACTCATTGAATCCAGCTTCCTTTGTTTCATCTGTTTGTTCGGCAGGTAAATATTTTAGTCCAATGTACTGGTCCCTAGATTTCATTCGCAACAAGAATATATATTTTGTTGTACCTTATTCGGGTTGTGTCCGAAAATATCGATCGTGAATGCATCTTGCAATTAAAAAATCTAATTTATTTATTCCTCCTTTGTCATCCAGCTTACTCTTCTAGATGGTCCGGAGGGATCAAGCGTAATGGAGTTATCCACATCTAGCGTTGTTTCCGAATCAGGTGCCACTTCAGAATCAAGCGAAGTTGCGAAACTTTCTGGTTCGACATCTTCGTTGTCTGTAGGATTGAAAACTGCTGAGACAGTTAAAGGTATTGAATGTTTTATTTTCTGTCTGTTCTTCTTATATCTACGTCGTTTTGAATGTTACCACTAATATATATGTAATGTAGCATTTTAACCCCAAGGAAGCGCGTAATGTTATTTACATCAATAACATTATCTGTCAACTGAAGTGATTTGTATGGTTACTTAATTTGTATTACCTGATAAAGGAGTAAGAAGTTTTGCTACACTCAACTCAGTAACCATTTATAAGTGGTGATACTAAACATAAAACTGTATGTTGTATGAAAATTAATGTTATAGCTGAGATGCTCATGCCTTGATTACTGTAGCGGTGTTTCAATTCGTTATCCAGTGACTGGAATTTAACTCACTTCTCTATGAATTTATTATTCATTGGATTCCAGTTGATTTCACTTTGTTTCGCTACATGTGTTGATGAAATCTGATAAATCAGCTTTTTTTCAATAGGTTAGACAGTTATACGTCGTTGTGCTCTTCAAACCGTTTTTAATAATATAAAACAACCGGTAGAAAGTTAAATGACCAATACTTCGTGTTTCTTGATACTTATCATCAATGTTTCCTCATATTAGATTTTTTTTATTATAGCTTGATTTCACACCGTATTTTTGGTAGAAGTATGGAATTTTCAGCATGTGATATCGGTAGCCCGAATTTCGCAGGCCGACCAAATGATATCAGGTGTGCGCCGGCAGGGGATCAAACCTCGGACCATGTGCATGGTCGACGAGAGTCCTAACCGCTGTGCCACTGATGCACCACTGAGTATTATTGTGTCTGAACTAAAGTAACTTTGAAATAATGTTATGAATTATGACACTACTGACAGTTTGTTGTAAAGCTGTAGTACAAAAAAGGAACGTGACAAATCTCAGGGACATTTCATTCAGTAGTTTTGGAAACTAGGTCATTTTTAAGACAGCGGAATCTAACCAACATCATCTGAAATGTTATTAGAAACATAGATGAGCCCATCAGTTTTTTATCTTACGTTTGGGTCTTTCACTGATGCACTCTGTTTACAACTGATGGGTCAGAGGTTCGAATATCACTCCATCTACTTCAACCAGGGCAATTGGATAGTATCATCAGTTGTCACATAATGAGTGTGGCTCTTAGTTTGGCACATAGAAAATCTGTTCCGGGTAATTAAGCTCTACCTGATTGAAATTTAGTGACTGATGTCATTTAAATTTCAGTCATTGCGTGTTATCGAGGTCGCTGGTTTAAGTTCTGCTACTGAGGTATTTGTCTTAGCTTAGATCACCACTCGATTATATTCAGTCACTGTTTTTGTAAGTTTTGACTACCTTTAATTTCAGTCATAATAATTAATTTGAAGACAACGTCTTTTCTCTGAGACATTGAACTATTCTATTTGTACAGAAATGTAGTGAAATTATTGTCCAGTGCATTTTGTTTTCAGTGACCCGTCAAAAAGTTTTTTTATGGAAAAAATCTGTCGTCGGGTAATTTGTTTATATTCTGTATGCAACCATGACTTTATTTTTTTTATAAATCAGAAAAATTTCTGTTTTTCACTGTTTCATCATTCAATTTTTAATATCATACATATCATAGGACGAACTTCAAAGTTACCCGGTCTCAAACGTTCTCCTCTAGCTAGTTCTACTTCATCTGTGAAGGATAAGGCTAGTGTACCTGCCTCAGCTGGTAGACGTATGTTCTGTTTTCTATGAGCGCATGTTTAACTGAAACAAGAAACATAATATATGTATTATCCATTGGTTTATATACATCAATCTTACATTATCTAACAGCTACTCTTTAATTTTGCCTCATTTCTTTTGTTCTAGTCATAACATTCGTCTAATGCTTTTAATCCATAATTACAGCATGCTATAACATATAATTTTTGTTTGTTTTTTCTGATCGGATTCATACTACTGTATATTTATTATTTTGTTCTTCCTTTTTTTGTCACAGTTCCATCAGAAATTAAAAAGACATCACAAGTGAGTTTAATCTGTTTTTTATATGTTGTAATGACTGACACTGTTACATAAATTATATTTTTCGAGGCTACCTAGAAAAACGTGGCGTGCTTTCATATATAGGGATTTGATTGATTTCGGTTAGAGAAGCATATTAAAAACTAGGGAGTACTGGACAACTGTCTCCTCCTAGTTCGGAACTCTTCAAGAACACGCACCCACAGCCCCACAACAAGCGAATGAACCCGGAGCTCTCGCTCGGGTTACAAGGTGAGGTCACTAACCATTTAGCTACTGAGACAGAATCAAATGGTCGATGATGAGGTTGGCTGGCGGTCACACTGAATATCGTGAGAAATTGACAGAAGTTAGAATTCATGGGCTGGTCATTGGATTCTATCCCAATGGCTGAGTGATCAAAGATCTCGCCTTGTATCTTGAAGGTCTTGGCTTCGATTCTTGATGGCAGGGGGTCTTGAGTGAAGTCAGTTCGTGATCAAACTGTAAATTGGCTTGGCGTATCTATCGTGTTAAATAGAATGATTCTATTTCTTATAATAGACAGCTCATTTTCTAGTGAACTTTATACATTTGATATTTCTATAATCTATCGACTTATTATTTTGTGTTAGTAAACTTCTTAACATGTATGCATACATTTCTCTTTATTGTGTTAAGAATTTATAGTCGATAATCGATTTCTTTCACATTTTGCTTTTACTGTGTATTGAGCATATATATATATATATATATATGCGCTTATATCCACGATCAATTAGGTAACTTGGTTTATTCACACAGCTATAAGAAATATACATGTGCCTATACACACCTTAGTTGGAGAAAGTTCAAATGGGTGACTTTCCTTTGTGTTCCCGAGTGGAACATGGGACTTCAAACTTGGAGCTTTTAGTTTCAGTAGCAATGGTGTTATTCTTTTGAGGAGGCGGGTTGCTGACCTTACGCTCAACCTTCCCTCTTCCTCCGGGCTTAATACCAGCTAAGCGAGATTTCAAATAGTGCGTCAACTGGGAATTGAACCCTGAACCTTGTGTGGTTGGTTGGCGTGCCCACTCTAATGCTGAGCCATCGACACACTTTCATGATTAATTGACACTAATTGAATATTTCTTTTTCAAAAGAGCAAATTATAAGTAGTTGCTCCATTGTACTATGGTTAAAGTTTAAGTATGTTAAAGTGAACTGACACACGTGTCTGAGTAACGTTCTACATTGATTCACCATTCATTTATTAGACATGATTTATAATTAATAGATGTATAAGTTATGTATAGATACATTGTTGTCATGCTCTCAAATCCTATTCCATATACGTCTTAAGACTTATGGGCATTATTGCTAGAAGTCATATGCTAGATGTAGCTGATTGGTCAGTTGACATGCTAAGATGCTGAGATGATGCACTTCCTTCTCTACCATTTGTACTGTTTTTGTGTGACTGAGAAAACTATGGAAATCCAAAATAGTAATACTACTGCTTCAAATTCGAAGTAATGGAACTCAGGATGTCCGGGTTTGATTCCCGGCCGACACACTCCTAAACCTCGCCTAACCAAGTAGTAAATCTGAAAAGGAAAGGTGTTGGCCATGAGGCTAGCAACCATATTTCGTGAAAGAAAAACAACATCTTTGCTGCCCCGAAACTGCAAAGTTTGAAGTCCTATATTCTACTTAGAACTGAAGGAGTGAAAACGAATTGTTTTAAGCTGGTTATAAGACAACAACATTCTCACTAGCATGGGCCAACGTAAAGAAATAAAATGAATGATTGTAAAAGAGATACTGTAGGAACATTTAGAATATATGAAAACCTGTTTTTTTTTAGCCCATTGCCTTCCGACTTGAACATAGGACCTAAGGCTTCAAGTTTTGAAGACTCAGTAACCATTGTGCTGCTTCGTGTGGGGAGAGGGAATTGTTAGCCCCACACTTACTCTGAACTGGCAAACCAGTCAATTTTTATGAGTACATCGACCAGGAGTTGAACCCAAAACTAGTTAGCGAGCATTTTGCCACTGAATCACTGATGCACCCTATGTATGACACGTTTAAATAAATTAGTTTACCCAGTGTTCATTGTTCCCTAAATGGAAGTCAGAATGTGGTGAGAGCTGTCTGCAAGTCAAAATAATAGACAACAGTTTGCGTCAATGTTTACTTCCCGAATCGGGGTCATGAGACAAAAACAGTAACAAAGCTTAACCTTGGAAAACTCACCAAGCAGTCATAGCGGGCTTGACGTGTGAAAATAGGATTCGCACATACATGACTTAACTTTCTAAGAAACGGCCACAAGCAACAGAGAAAACAACCAATCAGAAGAGGTTACTTCTCCGCTAATAATAATCTACATAAAAATCTATAAATATCTCTTGATTTTCTCAATAAACGATCTGTTGCCTGGCCCTTGTCTTCTGTCGTTACAAGAATACTGAAGTCTACTTCTGACAAATCAAGGCTCCATGGCTCAGTAATACACAGCAGTTCTTACTCCTATGTTATTTAAATACTGAGTATCAGAATATGACATGAGTAATTTAATATCTTACATATGTATCCTGGTCATTTTTTCTCTAGTATTTTATGTTCTCTTGCTGAACAGTATTCACCTTTTGTATTTCACTTATCATGCTTTTGCTTATTTGTAAAACACTTACCTAATACTAACTGGTCATTGTTAATGTCTGGTTTTTACTCACAATCTTTTACAATTCTCTTAATTATATCTGTACTTTCAAAGCACAACACCTCGAAATCTACTCTGTAGTGGATTTCCACCAACTATGTTTTGTGCAGACTGTCTTGTTAACTGACTATCAATTTCATACAAATGATATCTTTTCTTTTTGGTGTGGTTTTTGCTTTGTTAATATTTGAACTTGTGTGATAAATTTATTAATACCTTATTTTACTAAATCTTTTTCTGTTTTAAGTGATAAATGGAAGTAAGCTGCATGAATCAACAGCTGCTGCAGAACTGTTGGAGTTCACTAGATCTCATCATCTTGTGTTTCATTCTTAGTGATTATTCAGGGCGTCGGTGGCACAGCAGTTATGACGCTCGCCGACCATGCATATGGTCCGGGGTTCGATCCCCAACCGACGCCCACCTGATATCAATGGTCTCGGCCGACTAAATTTGAACTACCGATATCACACGCGGAGAATTCCGTACTTGTACCAAAATACTGTGTGGAATGAAGCTATAATTAAATAAATAAATAAAATGGTTAATTTTAAGGTTTTAAGTAAATTGTAGCTTCTTGTGTGTTTTACATTGGAAACCATGTCTATAATATCAAATATAGATAAATCATCTTACAGTATAGCGTATCTAAAAATGAATGAGACAAACAGGTTTTCTTAAACAAAGTTTATGGTTCTGCTAGAATTATCAATTCTTCAATAGTTCAGATTCCTTGTTGATAATGTTCAAGCTTTCGGGATTTCATCTTGTAAATGCCTATGTAAAAACATTCAAGGTAACTTGGAAACTGATCTGACACCATGGATTGCAGCAACTCAAACATGTATCAGCCTCATTCAACAGTTATATGATAATGCTACATGCCAACTGATTCACAACGGGGAGCTTGCCAAAGCCTCTGAAGTAAAGACTAGAGTAAGACAAGACAGCTTACTACCACCGACGATTTTTCCAGCTATATTAGACTGAGCTGTGCGACAGAACGTCAGGAGAGACAGGACAGATATACACTGGAGGAAAAAAAGACACTGGAATATCTTGACATTCGTCGATGATTTATGTCTAATTTCACAGAAGCTTGAAGATCTACAAGCGAAAAACCAACAAGTTGGCAGAAGAGGCAGTGAAGACAGGACTTCAAATGAACATTGATAAAACAAGAACGAACTAACATCAATGGGGGAAGTGTGAAGGAAGCCACTTCTTTCAATTACGTAGGCGGGAAGCACAGATGAAGATATCAAAGGCAAGATCGGAAAGGCAATACAGGCCTTCATTACTTTGAAATCAGTGTGGGAATCTGTCGAACTCTGTATAAGTAACAAGATCCGAATTTCCAATGCCATTGTCAAGTCAGTCAGTGATTCTATATGGTTTAGAGAATTGGTGCACTATCAAAAGCATACCAGACAGACTTGGTTCCATACTGAGGATCAGATGGCTGACCAGAAAGGTAAGCAACAAGGAACTCCAACAGGCAACTGCCCAAAAGCCTATCGCCCAATAAATATGTAGAAGGACATAGATATGGATCGGACATACACTGAGAAGACTGTGGCATCATGCTCCAAGCGCTCGAGTAAAACATGAATGGGAAGCGAAAGATGCTTTGTTTGTCCGAGGATGGCATGGATGAGGTCGTGTAAGGTTAAGATGAAAGCTTATGAGCAGTCGAGGAGCCACCTAAGAAAAGACTGCAGAGAACAAGATGCAATGAATCTGTGCTGCTGTGAAGCCTAATTTTCTACTAGTAACCCGTGGGAGTAGTAATTATAATACAATAAGGTCTAAGATTACTTTAAATTGTTGTTAAGCTTTACTCTTCCTTTTACTGTACATGTATTGAGCTTCAGTTTTTGGTGGTCTTGTATATATTTAAATAAACCACATGTTTAACACAACCACCTAGTGTGTTGCACGTTATGAGTACCAGTTTATTCTGTTATCTCGTGTTTCGCTAAATTACAAAAGGTACATCTGCTTCTCTTCTCGGTGGTAATTTTTGCACTCAACATTGGAGTTTCTATGTGGTGCTTTGAAGTGTAGCACCATGAACTAATGAAGTGTTGTGCAAGGTTCCGCACTAATCCTTCAGTCATATCACTTGACTTGTCAGTGTAGGCGTTGTTTTAAGCGCCAATTCCTTTTTGAAGCAGCGCTTGTCAAACCATCACTTTCCATACTTTTACTCATTTTTTCTTCACTTTTATAGCTTCCACCAACTGGATCTAATCCAGACCTTGCACGAAGTAGTCCAGCTCCAACATCAACAGCTTTGAAACCTGAAACTGCCTCTGCAAGAATTGAAAGTCCTTCTAGTAAGCCTTCTGCGGATAAACCTGTTGCAGCAGATGTTATGAAGTCCGGTGACATAATGAGTAAATCTTACACACAAATTTCAAAATCGGATAGTCCGGCTCGTAAGATGAGTGAGAGTAAACTCCCTACTTCTACTACCACTACTACATCAACACCGCCTATCCCTACTGGTATTAAAATGCCAACAAATCCTTCAGAAATTCCAAAAACGACAACACCCCCTAGTGATGTAAAAGCGGCTGCGCAGAAGGTGGATCCTGAAAATGCACCAAGTAAACCTAAAGATACGCCTCAAAAAATACCAAAAACATCTGTATCAGCTGTTCCAAGTGGTACTGGTAAGTACTCCCCAGACACAGAGTTGGAACTGGCAAATCTACGTGCTGAAGTAATCACATTTCATGAACAAATTGATGCTTTAAAAGCTAAACGGGAAGAAGATAAAAATAGAATACAAGAATTAGAACGTGTTAAAATTCAGCTGTCACAAGTTGAAGAGAATCGACGCCTGATGCGAGAACACGCAGCTGAATTACAACGTGAAATTGCTCAATTAAAAACAGTAGGTTTTCTTTCTTGTATTGATTTTAACAATTTTGTTGGGTTGGTGAACTGTTGTAGTTGGCGCTTAAATTATTCTTTTGAAGTCACTATCATTGCTGTTTTTTTAAGAATGGATACTAAACAAAGAATACTCTTTTCTATAACTTCATCATCAGGCTCTACGGTATTATATACATTATTGTTAATGAATGAATGAATTAATGTTATTTTTTTATTCCTTCACGTTCCCAGTGGAACATAGGGCTTCAAGCTAGTGGCTTGAAGTTTCTGTAGCAGTGTTTATTTTTATAGGATGGGGTTGCTAGCCTCATACCCAAGCTTTCCTCTTTACCAGCTTTTTATTTCTGGCTTAGCAAGGTACATGAGTGCGTCGGCCGGGGATCGAACCCCGGATCATATGTATATTCGACGAGCGTCCCAACCGCTGTGCCACCGACGCACAACTAATGTTATGAACAACATTAATCTTTAAATAACCGCGAATCAATAATATCAATAGATTATAGTTCAATAGCATCAATATAACAATAAACTGAATGTCAGAAAAATTAGGAAAGATAATATTACAAATTCATGGATTTATAATCTCCGCTGAAGGCCAGGGCAGTAGTAGTGACTGGACTTGCTTCTTTTGCACACAAAGCACTGGTTGTTTAACGCGAGTTGCGATAGCCTCTGGTGTTTGGAGCATGCGGTACTTCGGTGTTTCTGACAATTTATTAGGCACCCGGTAGATGATAGAGAAGGATTCTTCAATGGTGGCTGGTTTGGACCAGATGATCTAATATCGAACTGTTGATGGTTTTCACTACACCTTTACTTAGCCATACTGGCAGATGTTTCTTTTACAAATTGAGACTCTTTTAAATAAATCATAAAATTGTATGAACAAAGAATTTGTGAACTCTCTTAGTTGATTAACTGTAAGGTGATAATATATTCTCAGTTGATGGCGATAACTAATCCAAATCGATTTATAACCTGAAAATGACCCTATATGGAGTGAGCTATTGATGATGCAACATGAAGTTATTGACTGCTAACACTCGAGTTTTGACTGTTCCCAGTTCCAGTTTTAAAAAAATGGTTCTCAGTTATAGAACCACAAATAGCCACTGCACTTTATTTTCGTACTATTTCGCATCCATGACGCATGTTAATAATAGATCAGTGTAATTTAGCAATTGTACAATCGATGGGACCTATATCTACCCACTCTGTATGTAATAACCAAGTTGACGTCAAAAAGGTAGTGCTAGTAATCACATTTTGCAGATAGCGAATACTAATAATATAATGGAAACACTTCTACCAATGTGAGTTTTGCTCGTTTAGCTGCTCACAGAGTTATGTGCGGAGACTGTTGATCTTTTTACTGCTATTTAATACACACCAACTATCAAAAAGTCGACGTTTCTTTCGTGTGTGTGTAATTCTCCTACCTCATATCTGTGATCGTGACTCTTTGACTCATTGGTAGATTTTTGAACCTTTATGATCCGTTAGTTTTTATATAAATATGTATTGACAAGGAGGACGTGTGATCAGAATGCCCAAAGTGTGTTACGTGAATGCATTACACGTTTCAGATAGAACAAACTGAGTGAAATTTTTCGTTGTTGTCGAAATTCATGAAAGGAAGTAACTGCTTTTAAAAGTAATAACTTCTCCTGAGTGTATTACTCTCATAAGTTTTGCACTAATCTCTTCTGCTAATGAATGCAGGAGTTGAAAAGCAGACTTAGCCCATTGATTTAAGCACTTGACTTTTGACCAGTGGGTCCCGGGTTCGAATCCCACTATTCCTACCTAGGTCATTAGCCCTCACACAATAAGTGTGACTCATTGTCCCTAGAATATGGGACACCTGTTCCAGAACTGAGTTCAAACATTGAACGTTAACCGTTCGGTTCAATGATAACATCCCCACCTTGTAACTCAATGATCCTGAGCTCCTGGCTTCATACAGTCATGTGTTTGCATTGGTAAAAAGTCCCAAGCTAGGAAGTATTCTCTCTGTTAGTTCTCCTTAGTTTCTAAATACATCTTTGGCTATTTTCATTGAAAACCTGGTTCACTAATGTATTTATAATTAATCTTTATTAAGGAAAAAGCTGAAGTCAAAGAAGCATTTGATCGTTATCGTGAAGAAGTAACTGAAATGGTTGAAAATATAGAAATGGCCACTTTGGATAAAGAAATGGCAGAAGAAAAACTAGAAACATTGACTGCAGAAATTGAATTACTTAAGGAACAAGTAGAAGAATTAACTCTTGAGAATCAAATCTTGAAAGAAGAATCTGAAGAAAAAGGTTAGTAGTAATGATTTAAGTTATTTCAGGGTTATTTTAAAATCGTTTCTATTGTTTATGTTATTATTATTCATTAGGGTTCCTAGTGGAACATATTGCTTCAGCAACACATCGATCGATATTTCATCCTATTGCTTTCGGTCTGTCGTAGCTGGCCCCACGACTGCTCATAACTTTCATCTCCACCTCATACGACCTCCTTCATGTCACTCTGGGATGCCCAGCTCATCGATTGTTGTTTGAATCTCACTCGAGGGTCTAGCACGTGATGTGTCACTCGATAGTTTTCTCAGCCTATATCCAACCCCTTTCGGTTTTCCTCTGCATATATGTTGGACGACATGATCTTGTATGGTTTTTGTGTGCCGGAGTCCTATGTTACTTGGTTATCTTTACTTGTCATTTGATCTTCAGTATGGAGCGAACGCATCTGTTGATAAAAGTCTGAAGCCTCTTCGAAAAGTTTCTATTGTAGTTGGGATAAACTACTAAAAGTGAAATTGTACTAGTCAAGTGATTTACACAGCAGTGCTTCCATTGATATCTTAGCTCTTAAAAATTCTCGTTTAACACTTACAGAATGTGATCTAACCGCCCATCTGAACTTTGTATAAGATGCTATTAACCACGTTAGCTCACTGGTTGCGAAACAAGTCAATCAACTAAGGTAGAGACAGGCACATCGTGATAACGATTTGATCATATTTTATTATCAGTCCTTTTTAACTTCGATAAACATTTCACTTTTTTTCTTCAGTGTTATCGGCTTTACTCTAATCGCAGAGCTGTCAACTGACATTGTGCTCATTACTTTTCAGGAGCTATTGTGGTAACTATCTCCATGCTTGCTGTTCATGTATTTTGAGAAGTCATTTTATAAACTTCAAGGCAGTATTTAGGCATCTACCGAATGAGTTCATCAGTCCAGTTGTAAGCGCCAGATGTCCGGATTCGCCCTTTCACCCAGGTAGCTTAAAGGTAGTAAACAGGACCTACGTAAACAAAGGCTATAAACGCGTAGGCACATGAGACGACTTGGAGAGGAAGACCGAAGTCTACCCACCGTCGACCGTACCAGGTCGTTAATTGTAGCCGTATACCAAACTGAAGCTGATCAATTCATGTTAGATGTAGCTCTGTCCCCACTGTATTGTGTGACTTTCATTTTTGTGAGGTCCGTCATTTCACATTTAGCTAAATTCGTATGTTCCAATAATCTGACCGACCTACTGGTCTGATCGTTGTAATTGATATCACAGTCACTACAGGTCATTATATTGATTAAATCGATTTGTCTAATTGGGTGGTTGGTCAATAGGGTCCTTTTATTTCTGAGTAAGTTTGTAGGTTTAAATTCCGTCCTAATTCCTGCCTTATTAAGAATCCTACGTCGAGTTATTTTATCGAATGAAATTATCCCATGATATGGAATTATACTCTACTATAGTGCCGAAATCCTGTTCCTACATCAAGGGCCACTCTTTTTTTTGTCTAGAAATTCGCCAACATTTTTCTTTCTTACTTAAGGAGATAAATTACTAGACACCGTGTTCGTAGTTACTTATTGTATTCTACGTTATTATCTCCTCTTTCTCTGTCTTGTGGAAAATACCAGGTGGAGTAGCAGTCGGTGTTGAAGGCGGTCCAACTCCCTTACAGTTTAAAAATCTTGAACAACAAAATGAACGAATGAAAGAAGCACTGGTCAAGCTACGTGATTTAGTTAATCAAGATAAATCGGAAATCTCAGCTTTAACTAAACAGGTAAATACACCTGCTTAATAATTTTTATGTATGATGCAGTGAGCGAAGAAAGATACTCGATGAACGTGTAAAGTTGTAATTTTGATGTTCTTGCGTTCTTTGAGCTGGGTGATTTTAAAACTGTGAAGTTTTCATGTTCCTTCCAGACAACATCTTCAGCACAAGCTTCTTATCAAAGCGCATCGGGTGTAGGGTTCGAGTCTGAGTGGAACATCATCATAGGTACGCCCAGATGGTGAATCCCAAACAGGACGAAGTGCTCATACTGCATTCCTCTGCTAGTCACTGTTATCATAGATAAGGTTGTTCTAACTTATGAGATAAGTAGTAAATGCACTCAACTTACCAATTCAATATTTCTAAACTTATTAATTTTCTGTACACCAACCAAGTCTACTTTTAAGAACACTAAAAAGGCTACCAAAAGTTATAAATATTAGTGGAGCTGTATAGCTGAGTATTGTGAATTCTTCGTATATTGGCTTTAACTGTGTTGTAAATTTCGTTTATTCTTCCAACTCTTCTTTTGACACCAACTCACTCATAGACAATGCCAAAGTTTACAGTTAACTCTGGGATAACTATTTGTCTGAGTGGGAAAATAAAGCCTAAAAGTGAATGGTTGAGCAAATAGAAACGATAAATGATGTGGTAAGAGTCATTTACCTCTGCTGTCTTATAATTTTTATGAAGATCGAAGTGTTATGGGGCCAGTCCAAATCTGTGACCTAAAGTTCAATTCGAAAATAATAAGCAAAGCAATGTCATGATGCATATTGTCTTAATTTTAGTGACTAAATCAAGTCCGTACGCCCATTTTTACCTGTACACATTCTTTATGGAGTCAAGGTGTTTTAAACTCGTCACATGGTACCCCGTATTCACCAAGCCTTCATTTTTGTGGCAAAATTTCTTCCACGTAATGCTGTTAGTAGGACGCCCGTGGTAGACTCTATGAAAATATGTCTATTAGTAAGGTATTTCGAGAGGGGTAGATCAGCTGCGATTCTTTGGTTGTACGTGGTGCATTCAAACGCCATTTATCTCTGATTTATTGTTATTGTCTATTATATCTGTAACGGTTAGTTAGATGAGTTCACTCTTATTGCTTTCTTTAAAGTAGACGACTAATTGTAGTAGTAAGGTTTTCACCATCACAGTGAACTATACAGTCAGAAAATAGAATTGGTGGATGGTGACTAGCAATAGAATCCATGATACGCATTTCGCCCTATTTGGGACTTTCCATCTGGCTGTACCTGCATTCCGCAGTGAGTGATGATGTTCCCACCGAAGCTCGAATGCAGTGCCCATAGTTTCAAACGCCAAAGCATTATCCATAATGGATAAGATTTTATTTTGATAAATCACACAGTGTAGTACAGTTATATTAACTGATGATATGATTATGAGCAATAGTTTGTGCTCGAAACGTCATCAGTTAATATAACTGTACTACACTGTGTGATTTATCAAAATAAAATCTTATCCATTATGGAATTATACTCTACCACAGTGCCCAAGTTTTATACTTATATCAAAGCGTTATCCACTAGACCACTTGTGCAATGGTTCATACTAATTATTTAATCCAATTTTAGATTTTACCGTCGATTGATTGAACCGAAGTGCTGCTCGGTACCATCCATCAATTAACTCCTGATTACATGCCAAGACATCATCGAAGCATCTGCACAAGAAGCCGAAATGTCAACCTGTGACCGAGCACTTCGGTCCAATCAATCGACGGGAAAATCTAACATGGAATTAAAATCAGAAAATATCTTCAGAAATTTCAAATTCGAGTAAGGAAGGATTGATAAATGCATTAGAGAAGAGAATTCTAGGTTGTATATTCAATGAACTGACTGTTGATAGTAAAGAAAGTGACGATCAACTTTTTCTGGAAGGAAATTTCACACATCACTCTTCTGCTATCGATCATTTTGGTATCCATTTTTTAACTAATAGGCTAATCACCAAGCTTAACAGCGTTGTACATCATTAATGATGGAACAGGAAATTCCAATAAGTGATAACTTTAAATTTTTCAGTTATACACATCAGTGTCGTAAGGTGTGCATTATATTACTGATACATCCAGTGCTTAATTCTCGAACTTGTACATATTGAACCGTTCGACCTGTACCCGACCGATTGATCACTTTAATTATTAGGGTGGGAAGTGGTATCAGCCCCAACGGGATGATCTCAGACGAAATCTCAGTACGGATACAAAAAGCTCGTTTGGTGTATGCCAACTTACACCATCCCTGGCTTAGTAGATTTGATATCCGACTGTCGACCAAAGGGCGTATGTTCTACTCAGCAGTTTGCTCCGTCCTCCTTTTTGTCTGTGAGACATGGCCATCGAAAATGGGAGACATAAAAAGCCAAGCTAGCTGTCTTTGATCATAGGTGCCTGCGTTCTATCTCCTGTATTAGGTGGTTTAGTAGGATGAGTAATATTGAGGCTAGGCTTCAGTGGAGCGAGTGATAAATAAGGAGGGGAAAAACAATCGACAAGGTTGTGAAGTTTCATCGATTGAGATGGTTATGATATGTGTTACACATGCCTGCCTAGTCATCGCCTTCCTCGACGGGCATTGTTAGCTGACATAGGATGGATCAAGTTGGAAAAGAGTTAGCTAGTGGTGGTCTAACCAAAACATTGCTTCATCAGTCAGTGAAACCCACAACAGTTAGTTTAAACCAGCCACGTAGGGAGCTATAGACTGCTGTCTGGTTAGGGTCCTCGGGATGTTAAAAACCAATGACGGCTGGAGACAATTGGTGATATGGCTCAAAATCTTTGTCAATGTCGCAGATACATTCACTCTTTATGATTCATAATATCTAATGAAACTATATTGTTCCTCCATACTACAGTGTGTTCGCCTCATATTTCTGTTTATTATCTCTCTTTACTCTGTTGCTTTGTGTGCTACATGGAGGGAGAGTGGCAACTGGAACTGCTGCATATGTGTGCAAAGTTCTATGTTGAAACCAGTCAATCAGTCAGTTCGATTTATATATAAATTTATGCTATTTTGTAGTATTGAATAGCTTGAAAAAGACATCACAGTCATTGACGTCTGATATCATATTCAGATTATGGGAATTTCGTTGTAGGGATTCGGATTAATTTTACCTCATATTTCGTCTCAATCCAGTATCAGTTTAAAAAGTCGTCGAAAACCATAGAACACTAGGCAGCAGTTTCGTTCCAACTTGTGGCTCTTCAGCAACAGGCTAAATGGTCAACGGAATCAGCCTTGTGACATGAAGGTCCCAGAATTTGACCCCAGTTGGGGACGTGAGTGCGTATCGCTGAAGAGTTCTAATTAGGTACGAAACAGTTATCTAGAGCTCCTTGGTTTTCTATACTAACCTAACTGATGTTGGTCCACGACGAAATCTACATTGACACATTCTATTTACCTACTTTTTATGAGAATTTGAAATGCCAAACTTTACACTGAATATTACCTTTGTTTGTTTGTATTATTACAGATTACATCTTTAGAATCGGAGGTTAGTCAACTGCAAACAGAAAAAGAACGATTAACAAAAGATATTAAAGATAGTGTTGAACAAATTATTGAATTAAAAGAACAAGTGGATGCTTCCCTTGGCATTGATACAATGGTCAGTCAGTTGACACAACGTAATTTAGAACTGGAAGAAGCGCTTGAGAAAATTAAAGAAGAAAGAAATGATCTGGTATGTATATACAAATTTCTTTTGAAATAATAGTAATAATAATAATGTAAAGAAGAATAGACCGATGAGGCTCGAGGGAATGTTTATTGGGACAAACGCATTGTATAAATTTGGTATAACTTATCATTAAGTCTTCATTTGCACATCATTTTCAAATAGGTCGAATACCTCCACATCTGATAGCTTGATGGATTCTACACAGTGTTTGTAACGTTCTTCTCACAGTTCTCTTTTTCGATTGCTTTTTCCAGTGATCCAAAACATTTTGTTACTTTTCTGAACTCTTTTACTGATATACTACTTATATCTGATTATAAGTAGCACTCACCACATTAGTACAAATAAGTTTATTCTGAAAAATGCTTTGTAATACATCTTGCAGAATTCTCAGCATGTTCTATTGCAAAGTGTTCACTCTGAGTGTAGAATCTTCAAGTAAATTAATTAATCAGTAATATATCATCTGAAGCAATATTTTTCCATCAAAAATACTCTCTGATAACCTGTTATGCTTTTTCTCCTCAGCGATAGGTTGAATCCTACTGAAAAAAGGGGCTGAGTGTAAACTGCAACTCAGAGATGTAATTGTGTAATTAAAATAAAATGAAATAGAGTAAATGAGAGAAATTTTGATGGAAAGAAAATTGGGTAGCCTAGTTCTTTAAGCAGACCATTATTGTTTGCACTGATTTTTTTATAATATTGGCGCTCTACAATCCTTTATTTACACGATTTACAGAAAACTATAAATTAATTGTTGTAAATGTAACGGGATATTATGAAATATCTTCAGTTTCTAGTGTAAATGTAGTTCACAGCTTTTTCCTCTCACTTTACCCACTTACCTAATTATCGTTCATTCGTTAGTTAAACTACTATGGAATGAGAATAAATTTTGGTATTTCTACACTCAATTATGACGAAAGTTTCCCGCAAGCGATGTAACTTGCACTATACGGTCGTCGGTTAGAAGCGGATAGGTGGTGGTCAGTCCATGACGTGTTGTCATGGGATGGAGAATAGTTGTAATTAGTTTAGCATCTCTTGTTGCACCCCTACCCCAAATGATAGTCGAAATCACTGGCTTGAGGTGTTACCAAATATGGCGGAGAATCGTAATCTGAAATTAGTATACGGTGATAAGTCCCCTGAATAAGTATGCTTGCCAGTTTGCATAATGCTGTTCCCCAACTACTCCATTTCTCCTCTATTTCTTGTGTCATTGTTTTTTTGTGTGGCACATCTTGTGTTACCCATATTGTAGCAAGTTGCTGTTGAAATAATAACAAGAATGAGGATGGATTTCTCGCCGATGACATTAGTTGATGGTCGCGCTAAAAACACGAATAGGTACAAGTTAGAATTCATGGGCCAGTGGCTGAATGGTATACGAGTCAGCTTGCCTTGTAACCGGAAGGTCCTGGGTTCGAACCCCAGTGGGTGCATACTGCCGATGACCCCCAAACTAAGATGAAACAACTGTCCAGTGATTCCGAGTTTTCAGTGGTCTTCTAACTGATTATCAGTCCGTGGTAAAACTCGAAAAACAGATCTAATCCTTACAAACCAACTCTTGAAAATAATAATAATAATGCGAAGTCAGTTGTGTAGCATATGTATGCATATGTTACCTATAAAGCTCATCTGAAGAATTTTTAGATTGTCAAACAGTGCATTCATCAGAAATGCTACACTTTTTCTGCATCTCGGAAAATACTATTTATTATTATTATTATTAGTTCTAACATTATTCAGACACAAACAGTATGGAGGCTAGAGGATGCTCCACATTGCATAAGGGTTGGAATACTATACAGATTTCCAGAATGAAGTAGGTGATTCTCTTATAGGATCACTCTATATCTTTGACTTGAAGTCTGGTCCTTCACAAGTCTACGGAGCAAAGTCAAGAGTTCAATTCCCATGGTCGTGGGGTTCTTATGCTATTCGTCCTTCTCGGACTCTATTACTCATGTACTGTTAGTTTGGAATCAGGATTTTAGAACTCCCTATGGTGTGAGCCCATCATTTGCATCGGTCTAGTAATAACAGCTGAACATTCAAATTCTCCTTTTCACTTTTGTAAGCAGATCATCTGTTACGTGGACACAGTGTACAAGAGTTTTCTGATAGAAGTTACATAGGAGTATTTAGAAAAAATAGACTAGATTCCACCTACTATCAATAGTATCAAGTTACTTGTGAAATGCTTATTATTACTTAAGCATTGTTTTGAGCCACAGTTCATCAGTTTAAGTACTCGGCTTTTATCTTCGAGTCATGGGTTGAAATTTCGCTCCATCTGCCGGGGTTAGGTGAGGCAGGTAGTATCATCAGCTTTCACACATAGTGGGTGTTATTCACTATCAATCAGTGTGTAAATAAAAGCTGTTAAAATTCAATTTGTTACTTACGTCACACCAACTCGTAGACTGTGCAGTAAGATAAATTCCTTTGGAGGTGTATCCATAAGAATTCAATAGGGCTGCTTACATGTGTGTTGGAATTAGCTGTTGCAATCAACTTACGAATCACTGTTCATAGGTTAATTTAAATGAAACTGTAAATATGCAATGCCCCTTTTTCAATCTGCAAAGCTGTAGATTCCAGTCGAATTCTATGTTCAGTGTGAGTGCGAGCATCCAAAGTATTACCTTATACTAATGTTTACAATAGAGGCAACAGTACTGAAAGTAATAGTTAGGCGATAACCATCACTAAAGCTCAGCATTTTGTTTGATTTTAACAAAAAGCTGATATTACTACTACATGGAGTCGATTTCTGTTTAGTGTCTTTGACAAAAAAGTCTAGAAACCATAAGAATTAACCGTCTTTGATTTTAAAAAAGTGCTTTGATTAAATAATTATTTGCTTCTTTTTTTTCTCCTATGGTTTTTATAGGAAGCTCTTTGTGAAATGAATGATGAATTACAAGAGAATAGTCGTGAAACAGAACTTGAACTACGCGAAGAAATTGAACGATCCCATAGTAAAATTAATCAACTTGTACGTAATTTAGATGCAACACGTGAAACAATTGCAGACTATGAACAAACTTTTGTTAAATTTAGAGATTTAGTCTCTGATTTACAAACACAAAATACCGATCTGCGTAGGTCATTAGCGGATGGAAAATGCTTACAAGAAGAAAAACAGCAACAAAATGCCTATGCTACAGTTGCAACAGATCTTGTCGGTTCTACAGCTGCATTTATGGGGGGTAAATTTGGACTAGGCTCTCAAGTACAAACTCTTGCTAAAGTGAGTATTTCATATCATTATTTTTATTGAGGGTGCGTCGGTGGTACAGCGGTTAGGACGCTCGCCGACCATGCACAGGGTCCGGGGTTCGATCCCCGGCCGACGCACTCCTTTACCTCTCTAAGCCAGAAATAATGATGGTGAAGAGGAAAGGTTGGGCATGAGGCTAGCAAACCCATCCTGTAAAAATAAACACTGCTACAGAAATTTGAAGCCTCTAGCTTGGAGCCCTATGTTCCACTGGGAACGAGAAGGAATAAAAAGAAAAATTTTTATTGATATCAATCTGTGATCAGAATTGAAAGCAAATAAAATCCTTAGAAATCAACACTTAAAAAGTAATCTGATACTCACTAGTGACTGACTTACCGATTGCAGTCACCTAAAGTTCTAGTGGAAAGTCGTGACTAGCCGAGTCCACCAAGTTGGATGTGAGGACAAATATTCACCGCTGACATATTGGCTGGTGGTGACGTTATACATCGCAAAATTGGCAGAATGGTCATCGAGCTCGCCTTTTAACCTGGAGGGCCAGGGTTCCATCCTGCATGAGATTATAGATTCTTGCTGCCAAAGAGCTGTCAAATACTCCCTGGGATTTCAGTGACTCTCCAAATTGTAATAATCCGTGATCACACTTGAAACCAATCAAATGACTACGAGCTAACACTTGAGAATTATTTTTATTGCTAATTTTATTGACTTTACGCAGTATTCGACACAGCGATTATTCGTCGATACAAATTAACTAATCCTAAAAGACTCTACACTCTACACACCAAAATCAGAGTAATAATTAAAAGTAAACAAAATGAAAAGGATTATAATGAAGGAAGTTTTCGATTCACCGAAATTAATTTCAAAACTTCATACTGGTTTATGTATACTAGAAGAAACAAAACATTTTACAATAATATCAAATTAGGGATTGAAATAGGCTCAATGGTAAAATTACTAGTGTTCGTTTGCAAGGAATTGATTGATTTCAAACTGGATCACGAACCGACTTCAATTAGATAACTATTGAAAACCGAATAGTACTGAAAAGCTCTCTCTCTTCCTAGTTTTGGGACTTTCCAATAGTAGGTACCCATCACCTCCCCGCCAGAGGTCGAACCCAGGACTCTTCAGTTTACAAGAACTCGTCGATCATTCAGTCACTGGGACGGAATTCAATAGGTGGGCCATCAATTCCAACTTCTGCCAGTTTTGCGATTTATAGCTCCACTGGCAGCCGCCAACACCATCTGTGAGTTTTTGTCTTCACGGTCAAATTGGTTTGCCCCTCTTATAACGACCTCTCACTCCGTTCGACGCCTGGTGAAGTTATGAGTGCGTGTTGATGAAGAGCCATAAATGAGGACGAAACAACTGTTCAGTACTCCTTGGTTTTCAGTGGTTCTTCAACTGAATTAAATTCGTGATCAAATTAGTAGGAGAAGTAAATGTGTATTAGTAACATAAGTAAGAATTCGCAACGGTGTAAAACAGAAAAAAGATTTTCGTAGGTTTGGTTTTGCTCACACTTTAGTTTTATGAATATTGCTTTCGATGTCATTTGATGTAACACCTTTACAGTAAACCTTGCAAAACTGGAGTCGCATCCACCACTGTCAGAAAAACAGAAGTAAAAACTAGAGGAACCACCTGTGTACGAGATAATTTGTGCTATAGTCATTAGCCATAAATCTCTTTACGTGTTGTGTATTACACAAATTTTGTGCATATAACATATATTCTTCATTTTAACTTCATTAACTACCAAAATCTTGTCCGCAATAAGTAATTGTTTGCTTTAAAGATGCCTATGGTTTTATATCTGCATGGCAAGTCAATGACTGTTTTATGCGAAATGCTTTTAAAACTTAATTCTGACATCCCGTCAGCTTTCCTTATATCACTATGATAAGCTATGACAACCATTACTGAGAGTGTTTTCAATGAAGTTATACTTTTAGCATTTAAATGGTGGATGGTGACTAGCAGTGAAATCCAGGATGCGCATTTCGTCCTATTTGGGACTCGTCAGTTGGACGTACTTGCATACCCCAGTGAGTGATAATGTTCCCACTGAGGCTCGAACCCAGTACCGATAGCTTCAAACGCCAAAACGTTATCCACTAGACCACTTGGGCCGTGAGAGCCACCCCTTGTGCAACGGGTCATATTGATTATTTAATTGAATTTTAGATTTTCCCGTCGATTGATTGAACCAAAGTGCTCGGTCTTTTACCAGTTTGAATCAGTTTAACACCTCAATTATCACTTACAATTTTCGGGTTTTAATCTGTAAACAACAGGTAATCTTTTAGCGATATATGGTTACCAAAATTTTGGTTAATTTTTCGGAGTCTGAATGATAAGTTTGGTGTCTTAACTAATTTGCCTGAACTGGATACGACGGCTTGGGTATCATGGAATGACACGGAGAAGGTCATGTGGAAAGGAAATGAAAACTCCTAGACAGTAGTGAAGCTATTTTTGATTGGCTAGCGTAATGTGTCTAGTACTATCTTTGGTGCAGACTGAATTCTATCAGTCAAGTTTGCAATGTAACCACCAGCCACCACGAAACCTAGGTTCAAGGTTTCCTGCCGATTGCCTCCAACCATCTAACACCAACAATTCACAGTGCATCCTGATAGCGAGCCACCTAGAATCGTGGCCACATTGCAAACTCGACTTATAGAATTCAGTCTGCACCAAACATAGGACTAGATATATTACTCTAGCTACTGACTAGTATCAAATCAAAAATATCCATTACAGTCCTACAGGAGGTCAGTCCCGAGCCTGAATAGCTCAGTGGTAACGTCTGTGACTGCAGCACTGGGTGACGCGGGTTCGAATCTCAGAAGGGATACGAGTTCCTTCAGGGCTGCAGATATGCCTTCCTGACGAGTGCCAAGAATCACGAAACCTAGGTCCAAGGCTGTCGAATCCCTATGTTTCAGTCAGAACTCAAGGAATAAATAATACTATTAATATTAGAGTTTTTAGAAGTTGCGGCTCATTGGTCTCTGTGCCCGACTTTCAATGCGTTGGTCACACGTTCGAACTGCACTCCAAGCATTGAAGTTTACACAGCCTGGGACAGTATAGCCAACCCTCACAAAATATGTGTAGATCATCCCCAACTATATGAAATTGCAAATGACTGTTGAGTAACGTTGAGTTGGGTTGGATTGATCAGTATTTCAAGTTCTAACTGATATTTATTTTTTAATTTCAATCATTCATGATGAACTCTTCTGTATTCTACTTGCTATTTGAATTTATGTTATCATATTGTATTTTACTGTCTTATTTTATATTGAAAAAAAGGTAATTGAAGCTGAATTAAGACGCCTTGAAGCAGAACAAACTGCAAATCATGTGACGCGGTTATCTGCTTTCTTACCTGACTCATTTCTCCGACGTGGTGGTGATAATGAGGCATTACTTTCACTTTTGTTAATCGATCGACTAGCTGGGAAATGCGATCTGCTGGCTAATCATGTAAGTTTAATCTTATTCTTTCAAGTTGTGATACTTTACTGTATATAATAAATTATACGTCGTAATAATAATATACGTGGTCACGAATTGAACCACTTTTCATGTGTACAATGCGTTACTGATATTCAGATTGGGGGACCTAACTCTCTAATTTACTTTGCTCTAAACAAATGAATGTTTATAGTTAATGAGATACCATAGATTTGTGTGATGCTTCCTTATTAATATTCATGCAAATGTACTAACAATTTTGAGCCATATTACTCAAAGTCCCAAGCAATAGTTCTTAGTGTCTCGAGATCCCAGCCGACTAGTCCATTTGACTACCCCTAACTCTTTTCCAACCTAGTCCTGTGTCTGTTAACATTGCTCAACCAAGGAGGTAGTGGCTTGGCATGTGTGACACATATCCTATCCATCTCGATCAGTTTAGCTTCACAATTTCATTGACAGACTTTCTCTTCTCACCTAGCTTCACTATTACCCACCATATTATACCACTTAACACGAGAGATGGGAAGCATACACCTATGGTCAGTGACAACTAACCTCTTCATATCTCTCACTTTCAACAACATAAACAGGACGAACTGCTGCGCCGTACATATGTCCTTTAATCGATAGTTGTATATCCCACCTATTACTATAATGAAAGTGGACGAAAATGAGGACAATGAGCGTACCGGACGGACACTTTTGATGGTCATCACTTCACATGATAACTCTCCATAGGGTCTAACACAGCCGTGTGAGTTCGAGTAGAGTGTCTTGGTTAGTGTGATATACTTTTTCGGCACTCTGTTCACGACGAAATATTGATACAGTACCTCTTGGTTGATGGAGTCAAATACCGCCTTTAGGTTAAGAAATGTAAGAATTGTTGGACACCAGTAAGTATGCCTATATTTCAGAATCTGTCGAAGGATAAAAATACGATCCAAACACTCTCGTCTGGGCCTAAGGCCTCACTTGTTTTCACTGGTTTCTTCCTACCAAGTACCGCTTAGCTGACGCGTGATTATTGGTACGATGCTAGTCAAGCTTAACCTTATGATTGTTCTTACAGGCGGACGTGTTTACCTCCCTATAAACTAGAACAATCAATGATTTACACCAGTCCAACGAAACTATTCCCAGACACTACATAACATCTTAGTTAACCCAGTTAACAGTTCATCACCACTATTCTGAAACACTTCTGGAGTAATTCCATAAGGTCCCGTTGCTTTTCCTCCTTTCAAATTAGAGGCAGCTTTTGAAACCTCAGTTACAGTTAAAGGACTAATGTCTACAATCCATTCAGATAGGTGTCGGATACTGGACAAACTAAGGCTGTAGGCTAGTAGGCTAGTTAAAGTGCTCGTCAAAATGTATGACTGACAAGCGAAATAAGTGAAAAATCGTTAAAACCAGTCAGTGGTAATCAGTATATGTTTAGAATTTATTGAGGGTGGATAATTGTAAATAATGAGATATGCAATATGATGGAATATTTGCGAGAATGAACTATCGTCTAAATAAGCATTTAAATGACAAACACTTTGCATTACGTCACAATTACATCGCTTGAGAGAAGTAGAAGCATTTTTTTCAACACTAAAAGGCTAAGATAGTAGAAGAAAACAGAATTTTAACCAGATTTTTCTGTGTATAAAAGCTCTAGCTCATGTAATTCGACAATTAGGGCATCAGGAGTGCAAAGAAAGTGAATATACGCTGATTCTGATGGGTTACTTAACAGTTCTTAGGTGTAATTTCGGAGGGAAAAGTTGTCATGATTGAGTGATCAGTGCTGACCTGATGTTCAGCTATCGCAGATCTTGCGGACTAATTTCTACCTCCTCCTTAACCATCAATCAATCTTAGCATCTTCTCACTCTTTAGGTAGTTGGAAGCAATTGGCAGGAAGCCATTACAAGCATCTTATGCAACGGGTATCAGTTATTACTTTTGTTTTCAGGTTAATTTTGCATTTCCCGTTGATTGATTATGTTGACCTGAAATGCTAGGTCTCTCTGCTGACATGTTGGCCGCTAGTACGGATGCTTCGACTATGTCTTAGGAATAACAAGAAGTTACTTCGATTAATAATGACTAGTAATAGAATCCAAGATGTGCATTTTTTTCGTGTTTGGGACTCGGCAGCTGCATGTACAGAGCACTTCGATCCAACACATAATCAATCAACGATAAATGCAAATTAACCTAAAAAGTAAATATATTCACAATTGTTTTATAATTTATAGCATTTAATCTCGTATTAAATGATTTACTTTCAGCTTGTTGAACGTTATCCATTGCCTCCTTGTGTTCCGGGTCAAGCACCGCTACAGATGCCTCAAGGTGAAACCAGTACTACTACTACTGGTACTACTGACAATCCAACTGAAGTTGTCAGCGGAATTTGTATTCCTGGTACTGATAATCCACTGCCACCATTGACCAAAACAAAATCAGAATTCTTTAGTTTTATAACTAGACTAATTCATCTACTCCGGTCAATGTCTTCTTTGTTAGGCCAGTGTAAACAGTAAGTGTTTTTAATGTATTCAGTCGAATTGATAATATTCTAGTGGTAGTTTGTAGTTAGGATGAGCGGGTTGATTGATTTCAACTTCAGAGAGAGTGATTGAAAATCAAAGGGTAATGCGAGTTTATTTCATCTTAGCCTGCGACTATTCAGCAGTAGACATGATCCGACCTGGCATTGAACCGAGAACCTTCAAGGTATGAGGTGATCAGATTCTTGAACATGGTGGAGTGCAGCAAACCAGTAGCCTTACGGTCACGCCACCTGCCAAGTGATTCACAACGGAAATCTCAGTGAAGTCTTTGAAGTGAAGACAGGAATGAGACAAGGCTGTCTACTATAACTAGTGGGTTGGGTCATGTGGCAGACTCTAGGGAGTAGAAAAACAGGCATACATTGGACTGACAAAAAGACCCTGGAAGATTTGGATGTCGTGAGTGATTTATGTCTCGTGTCTCACAAATTCGACGATTTACAAGGAAACACCAACACGTTTGCAGAATTGGCAGCAAAGACGTAACTTCAAGTGTATAGAGTGAACAACAATCATCAGTTACCATCAACGGGAGAAACCTGAAGGAAGTCTTTTCCTTCACTCAGCTGTGCATCATCTCAACTACAGGCGTCACGGATGGGTATGTCAAAGCCAGTCAGAGTCCGAAAATCACGACAGTCATGCATTAAATCTGAAAACAATGTGGAAATCTACCGCACTCAGCACAGAAAAAACCCCAGTTTTCAGTACTAATGTCAAGTCAGTGCTTCTATATGGTTCAGAAACCTGGCGCGCACACTACGTAAAATATTCCCCATAGACTGCAGACTTTCGTCAATAGGTGTCTTCTCTAGCTCTATACTGAAGACCGAATGGCCAGTCAACAAAGATAAGTGACAAGGAAGTCTCGCAACGAACAAACCAATAGATTGTTGCCCAACAGATGTGCAGAAAGAAAAAAGGAGCCGGATCGCGCATACATTTATGAAATTGTTGGGTGATGTACTGCTGAAGTCCTAAGTTGTTCCACACGGAATCCAAGGGATGAATAATATAGTCACAAATATGTTACACTGTGAACATGCAGTAGGTTCAAAATAAGAATATTCAGAATTATCAGCTTTCTATTAACCTTTATTTATTCGATATAGTATTTCACATCAAAAAATTTTAATCAATGTTAAGATATTATGAGTAAAATGAATATAAGATATAACCACGGGTGTCCTACTTTTTATCGTTTTTCCAAATGATAAAAACTATTAAAAAACAACTCTACAATTTTAACATTCAGTATGCATATCTACTCCTATGTGAAATCGCCCCAGTTCAAATCTTAAAAAGCGCGTCAGTCAGTGGCACAGCGGTAGAATGCTCGCCAACCACGCAGATGGTTTAGGGTTCGATCCCCAGCCGACGCACTCCCTTACCTCACTAAACCAGTAATAAAACTGGTAAAAAGGGAAGGTTGGAGGGCTAGCAATCCCATCTCGTAAAAATAAATACCACTGCTACCGAAACTTCAAGTCTCTAGCTTGAAGTAGCCCTATGTTCCACTGGGAACGTAAAGGAATAAATAAAAATCTGAAAAATATAAAATTTGAATCCACAATTTGCAATTTACGAAGTTTGAATTGCAGTTCCCCTTGGAAACCGAAATTATTCAGATCGTGGTGTGATATGCTTGTTAACATAAGTGGCAATCAAGAGAAGAAGCATAAATGCATGACTGTATACTACTGATTGATTGATATGAGTAGTTGTATACAACTCATATCAAGCAATAGTGCTTGTTAGCCTGATTGAAGTGATCTAAACACCAGGCGGCAATTTCGCTCCTTCGGAGTCGAGCTCATTGACAGTGGTATCCAACTACAACAGGCGGTTTTCAAAACCCAGTCGTCCTCAGTATTGTCGACAGTCCTCCGGTACGCCTGTGACACCACCGAATCGTCATGTAGCTGGGTCCACAAATTCAGGACCAGTGTACACCATCACGAACCTCATATGAAGGTTGCAAGCGACGTCAACCAGGTCAGAAATGTTGGTCATTCAGCTCTTCCGAGGCTGATGGCACAGTGGTTAGGACTCTCGCCGACCATGCACATGGTCCGGGGTTCGATCCCCTGCCGGTGCACACCCGATATATCTATGGTCAGCCTGTAAATTTGGGCTACCGATATCCATGCTGAAAATTCCATACTTGTACTGAAAATACGGTGTGGAATCAAGCTGTAGTCAAAATAAAATAAAATACCTTGCCTCCTCACTTGATTTCTGTTGGATTCTATGGATCAAGCCCTCAGGGTCCATCTCTGTCGCTCATATTTCTTTCAGCCGTTAGATACTCTCTTGTGGTGATTTTCCCAACGACATCTGTGGTAAAAACAGTTTCTGAAGCTCCTGACCCTGTTTACGACTAGTGTGCTATTAGCCAACCGTCCATATAAAAGGATCCTTTACTGTGATATTTTCCAACTGCCGGATAGCAAACTATGTGTGCACTTTCATCATTTGTAACTTTCTGTTAGATTTATTGTCTATTGGTATCACACTTTTAATTTAACATTACTACACTATCGTTTTGCTTTATTCTCCTTCTTGATAGAGTCCTTTCAGGTTGTAGTGTTGAACTCTATTTGAAATTCGGTTCTTTATATAATGAAATGATTGCACATGAACATTGTATTGATCGATTAATTGAACAAACAAAGAATGATCAGTTAGACGAGACAATTTCATTGGGACCATTACTTTCGTCATACAACTACTTTATTCAATTATATACAGTTCATTTGAAAACAGAACAGCTATTTAATTGTAACAATAAACTGCTAGATTTCACGCGAACAATTCTATCAGCTGTTGATGCCTTATCTGTTGATTCAACTGCGTTGATGATATTGACTGGTCAGAATGTTGATGGTTTATCACAAGTGGCTAAAACAGCTGCCACTTGTGTATCTGGACCATTGAGTATGGGTAATCTGGATGATGTTGGTTCGTTACTGTTAAGTAATCCTACTGAAGGCGGTTTAATTGGCCTCCTCAGTGAATTAATTCATTTTTCTACAACTGTACGTGTTGTTACGCGTCGAATAAAACGAAGAATCCCAAATAAGCCTACAAGTCAACCGTTATCATTCAATCAAGATGTTTCACAGAAACTAGATTCAGCTATACAATTGTTAGGATCAGTTGTTGGCGCTATGTATCAAACAACTCGTTTAGCTGGCCAGTTGACAGTTCGACAAGTTGTAAGTTTTTTCTCAATAACTTGTGAATATGTTCTTTTTCATAATAAAGTTAAACGTATCATATCTTATAAACCATTTCGTTATTCACAAGACATGAAAGCACTTATTTTGATTTTAAACTGAAATGCCTAACTGAGATGTTAAGCACCACCGGTGACTGAAGACTGATAATATAGCTCCAAACTGTTCTCATTGGCGCAAATGCATTCCCTCTTTTGATCTCTCTCATATCCACTGAACTCTCTTGTTTTTCCATTTTTACCATTCTGTCTCTGATGTATGTTTCTACACATTATAATTCCTTTGAATCCCTTCTTTGTCTCTTTTCTCTACTTTTGTGTGCTACATGGAGTGTGGCAACCTAAACTGGGGCACTTCTGTGCAAAGTTCTATGCTGAAATTCAGTCAGTCAGTCAGTTGTCAGAAACGCTCGATATTCATATTTCATAAGTGTGTGTTTAAAGCTGAATTTGTGGTGAGAGCTGGCTGCGAACAAGCCAAAATTGTGAACAACAATTCACGTCAGTGTTACGTCTGGAATCAGGGTCATGAGAAAAACGATAACAAAGCTTAACCTTAAGGAACTCACCAACCAATCACATCGGACTTAACGTGTGCAAATAGGATTCGCAGATGAATGGCTTAACTTTCTGAGAAACGGTCATAAGCAGTACAAAATAACCTTCAGTAAGAAAACAACCGATGAAAAGACGTTTCTTCTCTGCTAACAATAATGCACATAATTTATAAATCTCTGTTGATTTTCTCAATAAACAATCTGTTGCCTGGCTCTTGTCTTCTGTCGTTACAAATTCAGTAATTTATCGCTAGTGTATGTAAACCTCATTATCTTCCTCTTTACATATTTTCTAACTCATATGACTATTTTTTACATCCGTCGACTGTATTGCTGAGTTTGTACAGGTGTATTTCTAAACTTTAATTTCTTTGGAATATAAGAAATAAGCAATAAAGGAGACTCTCTTTGGCTAAATTATTGTCATCCCTCGGCTGATCGCTTGTCAGAAACATATAACTTGTTTCATTTTATTAAAGCACACTTGGTACATTGTTGGCACCAAGAAATGCGCTACACAAAATCTCATAGTTTGTACGACGCCTAGGATACTGCCCGTTCGCCCAGAGCGAAGCAGGTGGTCGTTTTAAGGAGTTACCCCCCCCCCCTCCGAGCCTATTAGTTAAAGTTTTATCCACATGGCAGTGTAGCTGCATCCCCATGGTTACCAGTGATCGAAACACGTTCATACTCCATTTTTATCCTTTTAGATTCTGGGGCCCATTTACACACACACACTGTAGATCTTGAATCATGGTTTTCCAGCTTCTCTAGGTAGACCAGCAAGTCCACCAGTCCGGTTGTAGGCGCCAGACGTTCAGATTCACTGTTTAGTATTTGTAGGACCAGGTAGTTTGAAGTGGTTACACCTTGAGTTGTCTCCTTTTCAAAATCCGTTTTTATTTTACTTTATGTCGTCTTAAGGTTAACCAGTCAACTTTTTTTCTGATTTTAATTAAATTTTAGGAAGATACAGCCAATTTAGACCCCGGTGTTGTTTTCACTCAATGTTTATCAGAAGCTTGTAAAGAATATTTAACACCAGATGCATCCAATACCCGTTCCAGTGTCATTGCACCAGATATACCAATTCGTAATAATTTAACTCAAGTTGCTCGTATTATCAGTCAAGTGGCATTAGCAATGGAGAATGGAGAATATGACTTTGATGGAACAAAACAAACCGCTGTAAGTTCGCTGGATGTTTTTTCTTCTATTGGTAGTAAAGAAAAGCTGAGTGGATTATGCAATTCTATAGGCTTAAGTGCCTATCAAAGTCTACTGATCAGATTTGTGACATGTCCATTGACTTACTACTAAACACTGTAGTTAACTTGAAATCTAGACAGGCGATTTCCATAGAGCTCTCCGAGCTGAGTAAAACTGGGTTCACCGCTGATGGGTTCGCCCCGAAACGACTTCCAGTGTTTAGACCCCCTTAATTTGGCTAGCAAGCACTACTGGTTGGTGTGAGTTGTATGCAGCTATTCATCTCAATCAATCATTAGTAATGTAATATGTTGTTTACAGGGAGTGAGCGGATAGTGCAAGAAGCAAATAGTCTAAAAGAATAATATCAACTGATTGTAATTCACGGATTCAATGAATTTTACAATTGATGCAAAGTAATCTCAGAAAACCCCACCTGTATACAGATGCATATTCGTAGAGGAAGAAGCGAGGCAATAGGTGGAAAATAGTAACTGCATACAGTGTATTACACAACTGTTAAAATCAACAAGCTTATATTGGCTCGAAAATCAAAATGTTAAAAGTACAAAACTCAGTATTTTCAGTTGGGCGAATATTCTAGAATAAACTTTAGTCAAATTTAATCGTCAAAGCGTCATTGAATTAACGACTGTGTATTTTCTATAATACATAATCTAGTTTTAAACATTTTCATGCCTGTAACTCTCCAAACAGAGATAAACTGAATCCCTTCTGTATTAATCACAGCAGTCTTTATTATGGGCTATATGCAATAGGTACAGTGTAACCGACCTTTAATAAGTCGGTTAACTTGCTGAGGATATGACTAGTAATTATTTTGGTTGATGTTGTCTAGCATTAGAATCCACGATGTGCACTTTCGTTTCATTTAGGACTTGCCGGGTGGAAGTACCTGCATCCCTACTGAGTAGTGGTGATGGTGCTCATACTCAGACTCGAACCCGACACCCACCGTTCTAAACTCCATAGCATTATCCACTGGGTCACGAAAGCCACCCCTTGCGCAACGAGTATCAGTTGTTATTTTTGCTTTTAAGTTAATTTTGCATTTCCCGTTTATTGATTATGTTGGCCTGAAGGGTGTGGTCTCTTTTGACATATCGCCTCTTAGTACGAACGCTTTGACGATGTGTAGGGATTTAACACTAATCCTAAAATATGAATTCATTTCGTTCTTTCACTATGTATTCTTTTGCATATACCTCTAAGTTAGGACAGTATTCTACATTTAAATGAACTGTCATCAAGATTTGACAGAATAGTTCTAAAATATTTGGGCGCTGAGTGAGAAGTAGACATTTGTAAAAAATTATATTTGTAAAATCCCAGCGAGATTGAAATGAGTAATTCCAATCTTTCCTGTGTTCGCCAATCTGGTCCGAACTTCTTCAGGGAAATTAATCGAAATTAACATAACAGAGGTTTATATATAAAAGGAACATCACTTGTTTTTAAAAACTTTGTCCAGTCATGAGTCATTCAATAAGTATAATAAACAAAATTTTATGAACTGTGATCAAAATTTGGCCTCGGACTTACAAATATTGGTCTACCTTTGTTATGGAGACGTTAAGAAATGTTTTACAACTGTTTACCCACACACACATACACACTCTGTTTAAAGTGTTTAACAAATTTTGATCACAGCTCATAAAACTTTGTTTATTATACTTGTTGAATGACTCATGACTGGACAAAGTTTTTAAAAACAAGTGATGTTCCTTTTATATATAAACCTCTGTTATGTTAATTTCGATTAATTTCCCTGAAGAAGTTCGGACCAGATTGCCGAACACAGGAAACGTTGGAATTACTCATTTCAATCTCGCTGGGATTTTACAAATATAATTTTTTACAAATGTCTACAGTATTTTACACTTATGATAAAAAATGGACTGATTTTCATTTTCTGATATTATGTGTGTTTATAGCCTCAAGAACCAGTCTCCGCTCGTGCTGTTGCCTATAAACGTGCTCAAGCTGAACTAGAAGGATGTCGTTCTAAATTAGAATCTAAAGCTGAAGAAGTACGAGAATTACAAAAAGCACTGAAAGCACGTGCTGAAGAACTCAGTGAAATGTCTGTACGTGTTGGTTTAGCAGAGAAGAAATTAGAAACATCTGGTAAAGGTAATGAAGAGAAAATAGCTCGTTTAGAACAACGCTTGGAACAATCAGAAGCTCAATTAAAACGAAGTGAAAAGTAGGCCCTGTTTGCTTATTTTCGGTGTAATTAGATTTTTGTTTCTGATCGATGTAATTGATGAGGGATTTCGCTATTCGATAAGAATTTTGACGAACTGTTACCAATCTTATCTTTGTCCCAGTGTCAAACAGATTGTCACAAATGGAGACAGGAAGTGCTAAATACAAGAGCGCTGGTCTTCAATGAATAAAAATGGACATGTGAAGAGAGAGTGGACAAATTATTTAATGTTTACGTTGATGATACACAGTACATGCATTTGTGCTAGTATGATAGACTTTTCACGATGTCGCCGATTGTCTCCTAATTTATATTCTTAACTTCCAAGTGTTGTTTTAATATAAGGATTTTATTGACCAGGGACTTGATCACGAGCTGATATTGTAACGACAGAAGATAAGGGCCAGACAACAGATCGTTTATTGAGAAAATCAACAGATATTTATATATTTTTATGAACATTATTATTCGTTATTATTAGCAGAGAAACAGCGTCTTCTGATTGGTCGTTTTCTTACTGGAAGTTATACTGTTATCTCTTTGTGGCCGTTTCTTTGAAGGTCACACCATATATCTGCTAATCGTATCCGCCCACGCAAAGTCTGCTGTTATTGGTTGTTTGTTTAGTCTTTGTTCTTGTTTTTTGGGACGTAAACACTGACGTAAATTGCTGTCTACCAATTTTGGCTAGCAGACAGCTCTCACCACACTATTAGTTTGGGAACTATTGTAAACCAGGGAGTACTGGACATCTGTCTTGTCCTAAGTGGACGACTCTTCATCAGCATTCATATACTGGAGTTTGAGCTCAGGTTCTTCTTTTCACAAGACGAGCTCATAGCCCAATTTACTTGATACTACCCTCTAAATTACTGTAACTGAACTAATCAACAAAATGCGCTATTTCCTAATGAATAATCTTTTTGTGATTTATGTCTTTTCTCGGGAAGAAATTGTCAATGTGTTTTAGGTGTAAACCATCAAAGCTGTTAATTTTTATCTTCCATTTTTCCTGGCTTTCAGGGAATATGAACAAACCCTTGATGCACTTCAAGCAGATATTGAAGCTTTAGAGCAGGAGAAAGCAGAACTTAAAGAGAAATTGAAGACTTTAAGTAAAAAAGCCTTATTCGAAGGAATCATTAAAACTCCATTGGTCACTGGTAAGTTTTGTTTTCAGTTAATGCTTATGTGTAGTGCATATACTTTCAAAGATATTGTAGTTGCATACATTCTTAGATCTTTCAATGGTAGAATGATCACCAATCACGCACGTGGTTTGGGTTCCATTCATGACTGTTGAACGAGGTTGATAAAGACTTGGTGCTGCACACCATAGTGTTGAGGCAGTTTCCAAGTTACTTCTCGATCAACACTATCGAAGGCCTTTACGAGGTCGATGAAGTTAAGATTCACGTTTGACTGCCATTCTATGCTTTATTCGATGATGATGATGTGTAGGGTTGAATTTAATCAGCATATGATTAACCTTTCCTGAATTCAGCTTGCTCCGGCGGGCGAAGTTCTGCATCTAGTATATCTTTTATTCTCTCCAGAATGACACCACTTGGTAGTTTACACCAGTCCTTGCTGAGGCGTAGGTCACCCTTCATTGGTAGCTTGACAAGGTAAGGTAGGCTTTCTTCCAATCGGTAGGCACATCTCCTTCCTTCCAAACCTTTTGTAATAATGGCGTAACCTAACTACAATACTGGTATAATACTTTCCAAAATACTGGACAACAGATAGGTTTCTCATATATATTCACCTTTTTTCTAACTGATAATATTAATAGACAGTTTATGTAGGAAAGAGTTGTATGATACAACAAATATCATGAAATTAATAGCACTTGTAAGCCGGTTCATGCATCGTAGAGTATTAAAAATTATTTATCAATGGATGAAATGGCATTTAAGGAGTCTGTCGATTCTGCCCTACTTTTATTAGTAGAAATGATGAAAAACAACAAATAATATCGCATGTAGACAGATTATTTATACCAGCCGACTACACAAACCTTGATTGGTAGAAGGACAGCTGTCAGACGTACTAAACACTGATTTATAAGACAGTTTAATTCTCTTAACAGCATGTCAGTTCTCCCTAGTCACTGTTTATCCTCACTTGAATTTACCTTGGGATATGTATCATTGTAGATACAATGGTGAAAAATTGTAGTTCAGGGGGATAATTTTGGTGTAGTTTATGTGTTCCGAGCTGGATCGTCCAGTTCACCAAAATATGTTTTATGCACCAGATACTCGAGAGGAAGCTGAATAAGAGAATGACGAGTTGCATGTGGAACTGAAGGCGCCATGGTGAAGATCTAATGAAAAGGGGATTAAAGCTTATCGCTAATTGTGAGACCACCTGAAAAACTGCAGAGAAGAGAGTGAAATGGAAGTGTGCTGTTGAAACTCTATGTTCTGTTCGGAACTCACGGGAATAATAACAGTCATTTTTCTTTATTCCTTCACATCCCCAGTGAAACATAGGGCTTCAGGCTAGAGGCTTGAAGATTCTGTAGCAGTGTTTATTTCTACAGAATTTGATTGCTAGCCTCATGCCGAACCTTTACTCTTTACCAGCTTTATTACTGCCTTAGCGAGGTTAAGGAGTGCGTCGACCGGGGATCGAACCCCGGACCATGTGCATGGTCGGCGAGCGTCCTAACCGCTGTGCCACCGACGCACTAAGTTTCAGTCATAATAATATATTACTACTATTATTATTGTCGGTAAAATAAATACCAGTTTGAATTAAATCATCAGAGAATATGTGATCATTTACGCAAGATTCATACTTATTTGCTTTATATTAAGTGATAAACGTATGTTACTTTAATTTTCCCCTTGTATAAGGTCAAACTCCATCTAAGGGTCAGGCTGCTACACCTGAGACTCCTTCAGTTGGTAAACAAACTTCTGTTGAGGGTGCATCACCTTCACCTGGTCCTGCACGTCTAGCTGCCTACAGAGATGCTTCATTCATGTCAATGGAGGTTAGTTTTCACATTTTGTTTCCTAATAAACAGACGTTTGTAATCCCTTATGTCAAAATATCTCAGAAAAGTCATTTTTGTAGTGGATATTACTAGTTCGCATATTTAACTTATTAAAAGTCGAGTGGTTTCAACTGTCTCACCCCCTTGTAAGCTAAGTCATACCTAGTAACATCGCTGATGAGTTCGAACCTAGACGAAAGAAACGGCCGTCCAGTGTTTAGACTACGTTGATATAGCTAACAATCACTTCTGGTTGATGTGAGTGGTATACACCTATTCGTCCCAATAAATCAGTAGTGTAAAGCGCCTTACATTTATGTTTGCTTTCTTGATTTTTTTTATTCCTTTATGTTCCCAGTGGAACAAAGGCCTTCAAGCTAGACACCTGAAGTTTCTGTAGCAGTGGTATTTATTTTTACGGGATGGGGTTTGCCAGCCTCATTCCCTTTACCAGTCTTATTACTGGTTTAGGGCGGTAAAGGAGTGCATTGGCAGGGGATCGAGCCCCGGACCGCATGCGTGGTTGGCGAGCATTCTACCGCTGTGCCACCGATGCACACCTTCTTGATTACCATTCATGATATCAAGTACAACATATATTGTGATCTAAATAATTTGCAGAGGGAACTGTGATGAAATTTCATCTCCTTGAACTGTGTAAATTGCAAATCGCCAATTGGTTTTAGTGGGTGGAGATCTCTAGTTCACAAATGGCATTAATTTTACTCACCTACTTTCAAGTTTAACACCAGTCAAATCAGAGGAGGATAATAAATAGTCTTAAAATTCTATCTCAATTCACGTGCATCATAACATTCTAACAACTTAATTATTTTGACTATAAAAACACTCATCTTATTTCCCATCTGATTGTAATTGATCAAAAACACTCCTATTATTATTTCTGAATGTATACGATTGTTATTCCAATATCTAATCGATTCCCCACATGTATGTAAATGAAGAAAAAAAGTTGCGTGAGTAACTTGATATTGATTAATAGCAATAATTTGTACTCGAAACGTCATCCGTTTAATATTACTGTGTGATTTCAAATCTTTAAATATTCCCATTTTCAATATTAATTAGAACAAGACATATAAGCGAACAATATTGTTTTCAATTAAATCTTCTTCAGGCTTTACTCTAATTTACATAGACTTATATATAAAAAATTTTAACCAATGACGGTGATTTTGTGGATCAAATAATAATAATAATGTGGTAAATGTTCTGAACGTAGTTAATGACGATGATTATAATAATAACAAAATATTGATATCAAGGTTTATACAGGTGGCGATAAGAATAACAAAGGTAGTAATATATGTATATGTAGACAATTCAATAAATAAATTTGGTCAAATCTTAAACGTTACGTAATACTAAGGGTGAAGTGGACAGATAATCAGACTTTAAATAACGAACATAAAAATACGAAGGAGATGGAAAGTAAGAAAGGGTGGGAGGGTTTTGAATAGAACTCACCTAGGCCAAGGGAGAGACAAAGATAGAACAAACTTCTTTTGTATGCAAAGACTAGGATTGTTCTCTCGAATTCCCATAGCTTTGGCTATGTATAAAAGACGGATTCGAATTTCGGTGGAAAGGTTCGATGAAGTGCGACAGATAACTTTGAAGGCACTTCTTCTGTCCACTTGGTGACTGTTATCAATCAAATAAGACAAAATAGAACTTGTTATAGATTTTATTTGTCCTTTTCCGAACTATTGAGGAAGATGCTCATTAATGGTGCGTTTGTTGAGCTGTCTAGTTGTTCGGCCTACATAGCTTTCTCCGCAGGAGCACAGTCACCGTCATTGGTTAAATTTTCTATATATAAATCTACATAAATTAGAGTAAAGGCTGAAAAAAGATCTAATTGAAAACAATATTGTTCGCTTATATGTCTTGTTCTGAGAGAGACTTTACCATGCATTGTTAAAAAAAGTGGCTAGATTGTTCTTTTAAGAGTTATCACTTGTATATTCCGACGGTAATTATTATTTCAAATCAAATAGTTCAGCAGCTAATGTTGATGACTTTTCATACAGGATACAACACACTTTCCCGTAAATTCTGATTTCTAGAAACTGGTTGACTGACTTATGATCGAAGTCCAGAAGTTTCCAAATGCCTCATCTTGGCTAATCGTTTGCATCCTACTTTTATAAGTCCTACTAACCACCTTCACGCAGCCAGAGGTGTTTCTGACAGAGGTGAGAGGGCGGAGTATTTGGCAACTCCATGTACAGATATAGGCGAAATAGGTCTACCGTACAATTTGCACACGTCTTCCGTATTGTGCTTTGTTGTCTTCCTTTCATGTATTCCATGCTGTTTCACAAGCATCGTTCATTTCCTCTCTTCACCAAAGTTATTCGGTATTCTTGCAGATGATATACATATTGTCGGAATAAAGCAGATTATTATTATATTTGTATGTGTATCTATATACTACTTGTAAATCTTGTCAGTAGCTAACATCACAAAATATCTGTTGCTTACTTCTGAACTGGTGAATGTGTTGGTTTACCTAGGGGAGCTGGGAAACCTCGGTTCCAAACCTATGGTGTAGATAGGCTCCAGAATCCGAATGGATCGAATAGCGTGTGAAATTGTCTTGGTCACCGGAAACTATGGTAATGTAGCTTCTTAGGCTGCTCCACTGCCTTGTTGATCTGTCTTCAAGTCAAAGGTACGACTGACAGTAAGGCATAACACATTCACGTGACAACTAGATATTACCCTTAATGGTTTTAGTAAAATAACGCAGTTAAGTCGGTTAGTTCAGCTAATATATATCTGAATTGATAGTCCGGAGGCAATTGCTTCGAATCCTACCACAATCTGGAACTTTTAATTTTCATAAGTTAGGGTTTCAAACTTTTAAAGAATCAGGAGTGGGTTTGTAGCCTTATGTCCAACCTCCACTATTGTATGACATAACTACCACCTGGTAAACAACTAGGTGAGGTTTTAAAGGGGCGTTGACCTGGGATTTGGACGTTGATATTCTCGTGTGTCTCGCGAGCATTGTAATGTGCCTTTTTTGGCGTACAGATCCTTTGGAATGTTCTTCGAAATGCATAAAGACTTAAATCTTTTTAATGACTGACTTTATTTTTTGTTTCAATGTTTTTTTTTATTTAACATAGATTGCAGCCCTTCGCGAAGCTGTCCGACGTTTGTCTTCTGAGGTATCTAAGCTACGTGGTGAAAAGATGTTTGTGAGTTTATTAAATTTTGTTTTTCTTCTAACGGATAAATAATAAACTATGTGTAGTACATTAATACTCCTCTGTGAAATATACACAGATGCCCTCAAAGTTGTGGAGTGTATAAAAGTTACGGAGAAATCTCTGGTAGTCACCTACCTCACGATAACTGAAGCTCTTTATTCTTATTGAAATACTCTTGAGCTGATGATTTTCGTGTTGTTTTCCTCATTCGTTTGTGCTCCCAGTGGAACCTACAGTTTCAAGCATGAGCTTTGAAGTTTCAGGAGCAGTAGCGTTGTTTTTACAAAACAGAGTGGCTAGCCGAACACCCAACCCTCCCACTTTATCGAGCTTACTACCGGCTAAATGAGGTTTATGAGTGCGCCGTCTGTGTATTGAAGCCGGACCACATGCATTGTCGGCAAGCATCCTACCCCTCAGCCACTGTGGCACTTCATTTTCATGTGGTGGGAAATTTTCTGTAACTGAAATCGCACACGTTTTGGACATAATAAATGGACGAATTCATCGACTCTGTTGTATTTAATAAACATCTTTTATAAGGTCAGTTGTCACCGGGTTCGAACCCCGGTGAGTGCGTACTTCTGAAGAGTCCTAAACCAGGACAAAACGGCTTTTTCAGTACTCCCTGCAGGTTTCCCAATGATTCTCTAACTGATGTCAGCTCATGATGAAATCCTCCATCCGAATTTAAATTTGTTAGATATTTAGTGTTCAATGTGTTTAGCTGAATGAGCGTGAAATTATGATTTCCTCATATTTGTAATTACCTGTTATAGATTCCACTCAAATAGATCGTTTGACTATCTTCAACCTATAAGCAACGTCGATTTTTCTGACTGATTGAATTTTAACATAGACTTTTGCACAAATGTGCAGTACTTCAAGTTGCCACACTCCATGCACAGCACACAAAAGTTGAGAAAAGAGAGAAGAAAGAAATTCACAAGAGTTAAAAATACACAGAAAAGAAAAAGAATGGCAACATGGAAATGTATGAGCGTTTAATAGATATGGGAGATGATAAAGAGTGAATGCATTTACATTAGTGAGAACGATTTTGAACTATATTACCAGTAGTCTCCATCCAAACAGACAGTCTGCACCTTTCTAAGTGGTCGGCTCAAACCAGCTGTCAAAGACTTCATAGACTTTCACTGCTAATCATGAGTAAATAGTTGAAGTTTAGAAACATTTTGTGTTTCATACCATAGATGTCAGTATCATATTCCGATGAGGGTCACTTCCATTTGTTACAGCTTAGTTACGTCCTACTAACGAGTCATCAGTGCGGCAGAGCATTCATAGTTTCCATTACCAATCACCAGCCTTAAAATGGATAAATTATCTTAGTATAAGCGAATTCGACAAACTAAACGTATTCTTATTTGTTGTATCCATGATAATACTTACTGTGACTTCGACACACAACAATATACCAGTTATCACTCGAATACTATGCTGACTGAGAAGGCGACATTTTAATCTGAGGTAAGGGTCAAATGTCTAGTTCACAAATCACGGGAGGAACAGTAACTCATGATACATGTCTCTTCTTGTCTCTTAACCCTATTAATTTTCTTAATAATTGAAGCCAGATTGAAAGGCATACTGTTATTCAATATACATCGAGTGAAAAAAAGAATTGACCTTCACTCAAAGTTTTTATCACTGTTATTCCAATCTAAATTTCTGCATACCCCAAGGAATGACATTTCCCTCCGCTAATGCTTTCTATGCTAATCATGAACTCTTTTATACATTACAGGTCTCTGAGTTCTTTTATTTGAAAGAACTGTTTTCCCATATTTTCTTCATATTCTATTAGATTAGGTGTTGTGCATGAGCAGAGGGTTTACTTTTTACCTTTTCTTATAGTGTTTGAAACCTTTCCATTCACTAACCTAACTGCTGATTCACACCCTTAACTTTAGACGAAAAATAACTTAATAACTTTTCCATTTTTTCGATGAAGTAGTTGAATTCTTGTAGTTGGCACATCTGCATTTCATTGTGTTCGCCTTATAGTCCCTTTTAGCTGACTGCACTATTGCCTCATAAGCTTTCGAATACTCTCTTCACACCATCTCCTCCATTTTACCAACAGACATCCAACTTGTCATTTCCCGATTGGGTTCCACTCAAGGATCTGGTGCGTGGTATCACCAAAAGATATCCATCCCCTCATCCTTCCGCATATTATTTAGGTATAAGTTTCTTAGTTGTTTTCGCTATCTTCTAGACTTCCTTGCTGCTTGTCATTTCTGCCTATCTGATCTTCAGTATCGAGCTGTTAATAAAATTCTGAAGCAGCCTGTTGAAATTGCTATTGATGACACTCGGGCCAAGTTTCTGAACCACACAGAAGCACTGACCAATCTGACATTAGTTCTGAAAATTCTGATTTTTTTCCTCTTGGTTAGTGCAATGGGTTTCTAGAGTGATATCAAAGCAATGAAGACGTCCTGCTTTTCCGATCTTGACTCCTTTTGACATGCTCATCTGTGCCGCTTATACAGGTGAAAAAGGTGACCTCCTTTACATTCCTCCAATTTGTGTTGTTGTCTATTCTATATCCATTTGAAGTCTTGCATTTGCTGCCTCTTCTGTCAACTTGTTGCTTTTTGCTTCTTCATCTTCGAGTCTGTGTGACATTGAACACAAATCGTAAACTTGGTCCAGACATTCCAGAGTTTTATTGTTGATCCAGTGTATGCCTGTCTTCTCACTTCCCACGGATAACAGCAGTAGTTACAGTTTACTGTCAGCTTTTCATTATCATTGGTAATAAAGGCCTCAAAATAAGTAATTTTAACTACCTTTGAATGATAGAGTGGGTAGTATTTATTTTTAACTGACGAAGAATATTTCTCCTGTCGGAGTTTGAACCAACTACCTTCAGATTATTCAAGTGTTGGTTTGTAGGGATTTGATTGGTTACAGGATTTTCATCATGAGCTGACATTGGTTAGAAAACCATTGGAAAACCCGGGAGTACTGGACAGCTATTTCGTCCTAGTTCAGGGTTCTTCCACAGTACGCACCCAAACTGCGGGGTTCGAACCTAATACCTTCTGTTTACAAGGCCACCTCATCGACGATTAAGCCACTGGGACCCGATCATGGGCCATTGAATCGGGTCCAAGTGGCCTAATGGTATACGAGCCAGCTTACCTTGTAACCGGGAGGTCCTGGGTTCGAACCCCAGTGGATGTGTACAGATGAAGAGTCCCAAACTAGGATGAAACGGCTCTCCAGTACTCCAAGGTTTTCCGATGGTTCTGTAACTAATGTCAGCTCATGATGAAAATACTGTAACCTTCAGATTACTTACGCATTCATTGCCTCTTAAATCGATCTGCGACAAGTTACTGACTCCATAAATATATGGTCATCGTTTTTTAATTTTGGAGGTCAAATATTCCAAATGATAGTAATTTTGTAAACAGTTAATTTAACGGTCCCCTTTTTTTAAACCAGAATCAAATGAAAAGTCTTGGAACTTTGCCAAAACCAGTACGTCGTCAATATCTCAAAGCTGTTGATAATAATACCGCGAATAATGAATCTCAACCATCATCCACTACAGAAGAAAAAGAAGATGAAGTAGAAAAAGAACAAAAGCCTATGATATCACAGGTGGCACGTGAGGCTGATGCACTTCGAAAAGAAATGTTTTCTGTTATAGCTAATCTTCAAATAGTTCGATTGCCTAAGCCGTCGAAACCAATTGAAGAGCCTCCTTCAGGCGCCGGTGATGGATCCACACAACAACAACAGTCGGCTAAAGCCATCGTGCCTACGCCTACAATGCAATTCAATAGACAGACTGCACAATTAGTGAAATTGAAAAATGATTTAGAAAAGGTATTGATTTCTTTGTTTCACTTTTTTTTGTATGACCGTAGAATATTAATCATAGTTCCAGCAACACACATCTGGTTAATAAAAGGAAGTGGAACTTGCAATAATTAAAGCACTTTTAAATTTGATCACGGATTGATATCAGTTAGAGAGAACCATTGAAAGCCAGGGAACACTGTTTTTTAGCCGTTTCGTCCTAGATTTCAGGAGTCTTCCCAATGGTTATCCTAATTAATATGAATCTCCGATCGAACTTGAAGCTAACCGAATTCCGATTAATTAACACTTGAAAATTCAACTGTTAGCTAATCACCACTGAGAAAACATAATGAATCGAAAATAAGTTGTTTGGAAGAAAGCCTATCATTGGTTTATTGCTTGAAATATTCTAGTGCTATACCAACTGTGTGGAGGCTAAAAATGATGTAAAATTACTTACGCACTTGTGATTCATGCTGGTTTGAAAATCTCCTAAAGCTTTAGCGCTTCCATTATAAACTTTTGACTTTTAATTCAGGTGTCTTTATTCTACTAATTCTTAGCAGTAAGCTGGATAGTGTATAATTGAACTAATATATTGCAGTGATGCAATAGCTATGCGGTGATAACATTTAAAAGAAGTTAATTGGTTAATTGTAAAGCTACCCGCCGTCATAGTAAAAATACCACACTATGGCTAACGATACAAGAAGTGGTAGTAGTAAGTTATGCATCTGATAAGAATCGATTCCTTGGAGGTAAGACTTCAGTGGAATGAAAGCATTCACTCCAGGGTTCTCTGATGTTGGTAGTTAGGTTCGGTGATTACAAACATATACACATATATATTCACTTTATCAAACATGACCATCTGCGGTGGGGTCATGAGCATGTCTAGCCATCGCCTTCCTCGACGGGCCATGTTAGCTGACATAGGGTCAGACTGGAAAGTAGCCAGTGGTGGTCGAACCAAAACATTGCTTCATCAGTCAGTGAAATCCACAATAGTTACTTTAAACCAGCCAGCCACATAGGAAGGTGTAGACTTCCTGGTTAGGGTCCTCGGGACGACAAGCACCAGTGACTGAAGGCAATCGGTGATATGGCTCAAAATCGTTCTCAATGGCCGGTGCAGATGCATCCACTCCTTGTGACTTATAATTTCCAATAAAACTATTTTGTTCTTCGATATTACTATTCTTTTTGCCTCATATCTCTGTTTACTGTTTCTATTTTGCTTTTCTTTTTTACTTTCTTCTCTGGCTTTGTGTGCTGAGTGAAGTGTGGTGACTCGAACTGCTCCACATCGGTGCAAAGTTCTACGTTGAAACCAGTCAGTCAGGGGTCATGAGCGCGTACTGCTGAAGAATCCCAAACTAGAGAGAAACAGATGCCCAGTGTTTCTTGGTTTTCATTGGTTCCCTAACTGATATCAATCCATAATTACGCTTGAACAATACACCAGTTTGTGCATCGGTGGCATAGCGGTTAGGACGCTCACCGACCATGCACATGGTCCGGCCGACGCACTCCTCTACCTCGCTAAGCCAGAAATAATGCTGGTGAAGAGGAAAGGTTGGGTATTAGGCTAGCAACCCCATCCTGTAAAATAATATACACTGCTACAGAAACTTCAAGCCACTAGCTTGAAGCTCTGTGTTCCACTGGGGAACGTGAAGGAAAAGAAATACACCAGTTTGGAATATTGCTTACATGATCGAAATATTTCAAAACAACAAATGCCTATTAAATAAATTGTAACTAAGATGGCGGAGATTAAGGTTGCGTAATGTGAAAAGAAAACGTTCAGAAAAACTGGATGTTAATGAACAGAGCATAGAGATAGGCATCAAAACAAATCAGGTGATGATTAGGTGAAGAGAGTGAACAAAAGGTTAAATCAAAAAGTGATGTCAATAAATAGTATACGAAAAAATGCACAAATAACATTGACGAAATACTGATAACAGTTGAACTTGGAATGATATCTAAGGTAGAAGGAAGGGATGGAGAAGCTTCTTCTGTGTACACAACTAAGGGTTTTTCATCTGGACCACTACGGCCTTTGCAATGCAAAGTATGCGGAAGTATACCGTTTTCAAAGGAGTCTTCTTTTAACTGTATACATAACTTTGAATGAATCCTCCTTACATATTGAGTGACCATTGTTGAATATATATTCATTTATAGCACTCCTTATTGATTCATTGTGACGCTTCTGTAACCAAGCGGGACAATGTCCTTTGACTCTTTTAGATTAAACACGCATTGAATGATCCATATATTTCGCTCCACTGAAGCAAGTGAATTGGTAAATACACCGAGAGGTGGTCGAATGCGATAACTTATCTTTAAAGTTATTGGAGAACATAGAACAACAAGAGAATACCAATTTTAATGTAGAATCTTCTTTTTAGCGCATTTGATATTCTTTTCTTTAAAGTGTCAGTTAAAAGGTCGCCTTTTGAACGCTACGTTTATATATTATTACATCTTATTCGGCACAGAGATGGGGTTTTCTTTGTTGTGTTTATCTATAAAGCACTGGTGGCCGGAGGGGGAAGGGGATATCCATTTTCAATTACTGTTTCCCTCTAGAATGTGGTCTCTTCATCTACCGACACCGAGTTAAAGATTCCTCGAATCCAAGTTAGAAGAGATGTTCTCATATTTCGTTTGCGATTTATGGGCACTTAATTGAGCATGTAATTATAGCCAAGGTAGGGGAAGGAGTGTGGACTAGACTCTCAGTTTGTTTCAGAACACCTGTAGCATCTATGATCTGTATATTTATGACATAATAGTTGTTTCCAACATTTTCCTCTCATGAATACCTTGAATTTTTTGTTTGTTTGATTATTCATCACTTAACAATGAACACATGGAACAAATTATTTTTATTTCTTTCTAAATGATAGAATCTTTTTCCCCCTATCCTAATTCTTTTCTTTCGGCTGTTTTATATTTTCTACACGTTTAGTTACAACAGCGTGCAGTTGAAGCTATCAAGACAGAAATTCCAGGTGCATCAATTCAAGCCGATTTTACATCCTTCCCATCAGTAAAATTAAAACGTCTATTTAATGCTGAAAATAAGGAAAATCTTCCGCTACGTTCTCGTTTAGTATTCCCTGGTGGAGATGATTGTAAAATGAATCCAACAAAAGTTTGCATGACTAGAGAAGATCAACAGATTCTACATTCACATTTACTTAAATAAATGCCTGTTGTTTTATCATTTGTTGTTGTGTTTTTTTTTGCGGGGGGTTAAAGTTTACTTACCAGTCAATCCTGAAGATATTTTTTACTTCCTACTTATCATTAATACTTTTATTTACAATGACTATTATACGCGCATACATACTTCTACACATAATATATTATAAACTTGTATTTCATGTAATGGTGTATGGTGTTGTAGTGTTTATGACAATGTAATCTCCTTTATTAATATCTTGACTAAGAAGACGTCTTTTACTTTCTTTTCATTCGTCGACGTCATTTTTAAATGCCAAGAGTTTCCCTTTTTTTCATGGTTTCATGGTTCTCCTACGATTAACTGTGTTAATTAATAATAATAATTTTTCTCTCCAATTTAGTGTGGAAAATACGGCAAAACATCGCCATTTCACTCCGTTCCCTACAGTCTTTTCTAACTGGCTCCACAATCGCCTATATAAGCTCTTACCTCAACTACACACGATCTCCATAACAAGTCACTCTTGGAGGCCCGAATCGTCTTTTGCCATCCGAGTTTCACTCGAGGGTATGCCTGGCGCGTGATATCACTCCATTGTCTCTTCAGTGTATGTTCAATATATTTCCATTTTCTCCTACTTATTGGTGGGGTAGTAGGTTCTTGGTTGGTTCGTTGCCACAGACCCATGTTGTTTATACACTTTCTGGCCATCTGATATCCAATAACGACAGGTAACCATTGATAAAAATATGACGCTCCAATTCTCTGAACCATGTAGAATCACTCAGTGTGGGCATTAATGTTGTTAATTCACATGTCATTCCTCGCGCTGAGTGCAGGAAATTTCCACAATGTAATATCAGAGTAATGAAGGTGTGTCTTGCTTTTTCGATTCTGTCCTTGATATCTTCATCTGTGCCGACGCGTGTGTTTGAAACGACACCGCCTAGATAGATGAAAGAGGTGACTTCCTTCAGAGATCTCTCATTGATGGTAATTCATGCTTGTTATTGGTTAGGTGTCTTTATAACCTGTCTTCTCTATGTTCACATGAAGTTTTGACTTCTTTGCCACTTCTGGCAACTTGTTGGTCTTCACCTTTAAATTGTCGAATTTGTGTAACACAAACATACATCATCCTAAGAGTCCAAATCTTCTAGTGTCTTTACCTCGGTTCACAAATTAAAATAACGAAAAGGATTTCCAACAGGTTGCAGACTTTCACCAACAGCTGCCTTCGTTCCATACTGAAGGTCAAATGACCAGAAAGAATAAACAACAAGAAACTATGGGAACAAACCAACCAAGAGTTGATCACTCAACAAATATGTAGGAGAAAGTGGAGATGGATCGGGCATACATTGACGAGGCCGCTGAATGACATCGCACGCCAGGCTCAGTGCTCGATCGGAATCCAAATGGGAAGTGACGAGTGGGTCGTCCTAGGGTGATATGGAGGAAGACGAGATGAGTGAGTATGGTCAACCGTAGACCCAGCTGAAGATGACAGCAGAAAACAGAATAAAGTGAAGATGTGTTTTTGAAGCCCTATGTTCCACTCGGAACGCGAGGGAATAATAATAACCTGATGACTACTAGCATATCTGTCTGTCCCATTAGTGTATTAGTCAAAGCCTATCGATCATTTTCGCAAGTGATTATTTAATTTAGAAGAATATTGATGGCGGGATTATTTGCGACAAACTACCAGGTTTAATGAAAATCATGAGTGCAGGCTGCTTGCACAAATATAATACCATAACAATTCTAATTCTATGTACGCAACACACATCCGTCATATTGAAACGGTAGGAGAGGAAAAACTTAGTATCTCTATATGGCCGAATTATGTACACCTGATCTTCAACGCACCATCTGTACAGATCTTCCGTGTTGTACCACTACTCGCCTTCATATTGTGTTTCTTTGTGTTCTTTTCACGTTCCCCATGTATCTAGGCAACGCTGTATCATTTGCTTTCTCTGACATCGAATCTCCCTGCTGTCCGATGTTTTTATGCCGATGAACCTCTATTTATATACTACTGGTAAATCTTATCAGTAGCACACGCCACAATCTATAATGATATGTTAATTTTTTTCACACTAAATGGCTTAGATTTTCATTAAAGGTATTTTAATATGGCAATGATAGCCTTTTAATGTGCTAGTGAATTCATCAAACTAATTTCTATGATGTTCTCTTTGTGAGATTGTTATTTTTACCGAGAAGAGTATCTATTCAAAAAAGATCCTCCTCCATGTTACATATAAAGGTAATATTGTATGAAGATAATATAAACGAATGAAGAGGATATATATATATATCCTTCCATATACACGTAGAGTTGAAAATTGCACCATAGAATTAATTATAATCCGGAAATAATTAAGAATCGAATGAATATTTAAGTGTTGGTTTGTGGGGATTCGATCGGTTACAGGTTTTCATCATGAGTTGACATCGGTTAGAGAGCCATTGGAAAACCTGCAGGGAGTGCTGGACAATACTTTCATCCTAGTTTGAAATTCTTCATCAGTATGCAGCCACCACAGAGGTTCGAATCCAGAACCTTCCTGTCACAAGGTGAGCTTGCAGATCACTAAACCAATGGGAACCGATCCAATGGCCAACACTTTAATTCCAAATCCTACCGACTCATGATATAGGACGACCACCAGCCAATGTCATCACTGGCGAGTATTTGTCCTCACACCCAACCTGTTTTACCTCCTCACTGGTCACTACTTCTCACTAGAACCCATGTAACTATCCCCCCCCCCTCTGAATAGCTCCAGTCGCTACTGAACATCAGATTGATTTTCAAGTGTTGGTTTGCGGGGATTTAATTGGTAACTGGACTTCATTTTCAGAAAATTGCATAGTCGAAGTTAATCAGCTTATCGATGAAATATATTCATGAATGAGTATTAAGGGTTAGAAAACACTAAATAAACATTTATCAATACAAAACATAGTATCACTCAGTGAAGATATTTATTATTCGTCTGAGCTCAATGGAGTAAGTGCTTTAAATTAGCTCTAAACTGTTTATTTTCTTGGGATATTTTTTCTATGTATACATATGACGCGTGTTCTTGACTAAAAATTTCTATGTAGTATATTGTATGACCTCTTCTGTGTGAGTCTTGAGAGAGAGAAGCGATGGATTAATTTGCAAACACGAGGAATGAAGCTAAAATTGTTAGACAGCGTAGAAATCATGACATAGTGAGAAGAGAAGCAGAAAACGGTTCCTTTAGTCAAAAGCTTCATGCAAATATTCGTAACAGTTAATAGTAATGGCAATTTCGTCAAACCCAAGCTATTTTCTGGTCAGTCGAAAAATTTACTCAGTACAAATGAAGGAAGAAACACCAGTTACAAATGATAGAAACAGAGTTTACGTAGATACTTATAACTCGCAACTGCTGGTGAAACTTCGAAGTTCGAGGACCTATGTTCCGCTCGGAATGCAAGAGAATGACGCTTAAATGATGACTTTCAAATCAATAAACCTGAAACGTGTAGGTTCTAATCCGTGTTGTGCATAAATATAGCTATTGTTCAAGAGGTGCAAGCTAAAGCGAAACGTTGGTGTGGTAAAACAACATTTTTACTACGTTGTTAGCTACTGGTGGTTCGTAATAAATGCTGACTTAGAATTAATAAATTCCATACAAGGCGTCCAAGCAGTTGGTTAAATACGACTTTTAAATTCACTGTGATTGATCACAAACTAAATTGATTTAGAGAAGCGTTGAAAATCAAAGAACATCTCTCTCCTCTCTTTTGGGGGACACTTAGTAGTGTGTAGTGACCCGTTTTATTACTCATCATCTCAGTATACTTTCACTATGTAATTGGACTTTGATTTGTTTATCACTCTAAACATTGCGTGTTAACAATTGATACTTTTGTACTCGCTCGACTTTTGAATTTTGATTGCTGCAATAATACACTATCGTATTCCTTCGCAAGTGCCTTTTGAATTACGTTGTGGATGTCGAGTAATCACAACGTTAGCACACAATTATAAACGCGAAGAAGTATTAGGATATACGTATACACTTGTTTAGTCAAAATATAGCAGCCCGACATAGCTGATCGATCGACTACATCATTTCGAAGTATTCACACAGTGGATTTAATCATCTTCGCTATCGTATTAACTTTCTATAACTGCATTACATTTGGATATATATTTACTGATATTTTTGCTTAAAGTACCTCCGGTAAGCTGACTATTTTTGGACATTTTTGAACTTACCTATATTCTGTTCTGTTTTTGCTCACTTTTTGTAATTTTTCTATCACCTATATATATTCTTTTCTGCACTTTTATGATGTCATTTAATACTGACAACGACACTTTGAGTACAAGGTCTGTGGCTGCAGTTACCATATCCATACCACCTTTTAAACCTAACGACCCATATTTGTGGTTCACTCGCCTGGAACACTACTTCCTAGCTAACCACGTCACTTCTCAGACTACAAAATTTGGCCTTGCAAGCTCCATATTACCTGACCATATAGCAGAGCAAGTACGAGAGACGCTCATACATCCAGAAACTCCATACGATGTTTTAAAGCAGAAGGTTATTAAAGTTGCTTCGTTATCAGATCAGAAAGCTATCGATCAGCTACTCAGCAATGTTAGCCTGGGCGATAGAACACCTTCTCAACTCAAAAGCCATATGTGTAACATTTTAGGAGATCGGAAGGTAGACGCCAGGTTTTTCTATCAATTGTGGCTAAGACGATTACCCCACAACATTCAGAAAGTATTAGCATTTGGACATGAAGACATAGATATTGACAAGTTGGCAGAAATCGCTGACAAAATGTATGAACGGATATCTCCACAAGTAACATCTGTAGTCGACAAAACGTCAAACGAACGCATAGAAGCCTTAGAACGTAAAATCGACGTGCTCACCGAGCAATTAATGACAATGAGGGTTAATAGACAACCTACCACAACGTACAGAAGACAGCGTAGCCACAAAGCAATATGCGTAAATATAGCTTACAACAGACTATATGCTGGTATGACATATTTCAGGCCATGACGTCCAAACTTCCTATGATACCAACATATATTGCTGTCCGTAGAAGACATGCGGGAACGCTGTCGGGAGTGAGATCGTCTATGTGATTGTGACCGTGCTTGTGAACTCCGCCTCTCGACTCGTCGATCAGATCTAGGTGTTTCCAACTTGTCAAGCCTTGCCGCTAAGTCTGCAACGGCGGCAAGTATTGGTGACGACATTATAGGTGTGAGAATATTGATACAAAGGGGAATACAAATATGAAACCACCAACAAAAAATTGCAATGAAAGTACAAAATAGTGAAAATAATCCGTGTTCCAAAACGGGCTCACCAATTAATTTGTAGGGGACTTATGTTAGAGTTCACTAGTATTACGAAATATGAGAAATAAAATTCAAGTCAATGGAATGATAAGTAGCAGTATATTACCAAAAATGTAACGACACGTTATATCAACAAAAGGGTTACTTGGAAATAAGGTTTAAGTCCTCTGCTACAAATTATTTATATATCCCACGGAGACGTTAATTGTTTAGACGGAGTAGGTTGTAGCTGCTGTGTCCCGGTTGTATAATTGTCTTCGGTTGAGCGTAGTGGATTTCTACAATAAATCCGAAAGATACAACACGGTGAGAGCTGAGCTAGTAAGCCGAAGAAACCAAGGAGAAGACGAAGTCTCCAACAGCAGAGTGTATTTTCGGGTGAGGATGTGTTCTATGACGTGTTAATTTTTCCGCGCCTCAGGTTTTCTCGTCTTTCATTGGCTGGAACAGTGGTGGCTAATTTGATATTTAATTTGTCCTTGTTAGGTGATGTCGTTGCAGGTTTGTGTGCTTGAGGTATGCGTTGTTTACAAGCATATTTGATGAAAATAAATGTAAAATTTGAGTATTCTAACGTTTTCTTTTACTTATTTGTGCATGTACAAGGCTTGGCTTATCATACACTCGGTTTGTTGGCCTATCGGTTGCTGGCGATGTCAAGGAACCCGTGAGTTCTTTGGCTTTTCTCGATTTTAGGTTATACGTGCAGCATTTTATCGGTGGATACTGCTCAGTGATGTATTTCAATGTGGCTTTTTCTACGGAATTATATTGAATCAGTCGTGAGACAGATGGACACTAATTGACAAAGCCTTTTTAGTTTATTTCAGGTAGCCAATGCGAGTGGGAGCATTATTTATCCTGTAATATTGTGTGCATAATTCTATTTTTGTTTACTCTTCCACCTTTTGTAGTTAATAATGTGCTGCCTAAGTGTCAACGATGGACATGGTCTCGTAACTTGTGCGCATCCGAAAGCGGGAGAAGTAATCGCACAAATGGACCATTTTCTTAATATGTAAACAAACTAATGTTGTATTATAATAAATATGAACTTTTCATATAAATCTTGTTGTCTTTCAATTCATGTATTCGCTTTGTGAGCACGGCATGCTAGACCGGTGCTCCCTAGGACTTGAACTCGTTACTATACTTAAGTGTAATTCTGTAGGAACACTATCGACCGATATGCGTGGTGAATTATAAGTAGTTTAGTGGCCCTTAAGTCTCTGTCAACAGTTACGTGAAAACGTCTCATAGTCATACGCAAGTCTGTATGGAACAATGACAACAATAGGTAGAACTTAGGCACTGCATTGCAGTTCCAGTTCGTATACGGTTAGGTGTATTCCAAATCAGTGTATTACTAATATTTAAATTAAAGCGTTATAGCAGTCCCTGTGATAACGGGTGTTGACGTATACTGTAAAATTAAGTTTACACATAACGAATAAATAAGTAGGTTGAGCTGTAGCAGTCGTAGTAACATTCCGCTTACGTTTAATTATGCAGTCAAATAAATCATCAAGTATCATTGATAAGTCTGACATCTGCATCTTTTCATGCAAAAAAACTTAGTTTCACTCAGATAGAATAAGAAAAGTATTGTAAGCAGGATGTTAAATCTATTTAATGAAAAAAATAAGCAAATGTCTTTACACAATTGTTTTTCGTAATTATTTCGCCTATGTTGAATTGCTGTGACCAAGTTGACTGACATTACCGGATATCTGTAAATAAGTGAAGAAAGTGTATGTTTTTAAATCGCTGAAGTAAGGAAGAAGTAATGTTAAAGTTAAACGCTTTAAATTTCCATACCTTTACTGAAAAAGGTTCATTTTCCTTTTTCATTCTTTGGTGATGACAGCATTCTTCTGTATTTTTTAATGTCACACAGAGATTGTTCGTCTAATACAGTATAGCAGCAAGCAAATAATAAGTGTTAACTAGTAAACCATTCACAATGAACACTGTACAGAAAACTTCATCACATCTTCACTTTAACCAACTTTTCCTTCACGCACAGAAGCATGCAGTCACTACATACACTCAAGCATTGTAACCTGAACATCACAAAATCCCTATAGATAACTTCTTTCATAATAAATGATTTAAACATATGAGCCATAAGTGCATCTTCCATTTCCTTCATAGCCAGAAGTAATTCATTAAGGATCTCAGAATATCTTAGTGATCTGAACACGAACGATTGTTAAGACTGGGATAACTTATGTAACAGGTGCAGTAGTTGTAGGACACACCTGCTAGCTACTAATCAACAGAAAATTGATACTAATTTTAAGTAGTCTGACATTTCAGGAGGACCATCTGCACTATTCTTCGTAACCCCATGCACACTGATATACACATAATCTGATGCCATTTTTGACAATGAACAATTAAAGCCTTCTGACATTCCAAGTGCAAATGTCAATTAAAGTAGTATCATATCTTCGCCTAAGCAATTTTAAATGGGAACTTCATCAAAGTAGTTATAATCACCAGGAAATGCAGCAGCCTGTCTCATTCATTGCATGATCTCTCCCATGTGCTATGGAATATTTCAGCCATCACAGATGATAAAAGAAGTGTCTGACATCCTCAAAACACACATCTAACTTATGTCTCTAGGCTATTTCTCTTTCAAATGCACCATTCTCATAGAATAACTGGGATGACAACAGCCATTGCCTGCAGTCAATTTACAACCTTAAGATCTGAAACAACTCACAAAAAACAATGCCTAAATGCTCTAAAACCCTAATAATGGACTTTTTATGCGATATTTCTTCAAAATGATGACTTTTTTATTAGTAATTCGTCTAGGCTGTCATGACAATTTTACGCATTACTACGAACACAATACACAAAAATATTGCATTTTTCGGCTACAAAAGCTTAAAACTAGTCAAATAGAACCTATTTTCACAATACTGAGCGGTTAGAACGTCTCTATAGGCGTGAACGCGATAACCCATGCAATGCGCGAAAACACCTTATCATAGAACATAGCCTCACTCGTATTTTCCAAAATGTACACGGAAGCCAAGGGTATTTCAACAAGAAGCGTTTTAAACAAAAATTATGTACAATATGTCTAATTTCTACAAATAACCAAAAAGAGTACAATCACATTGTTACGCACTCCACAAGTATAGCATCCCTTTGTATTCGTTCATTGTTTATTATACAACTTTCCTCTGATGCATAATGACTCATATAGGAAACACTGGGCGAGGATATTATTACATATTGCATATATATTTACATTAATGAAGTCTATAACCTTACTCATTCCACTAGTTTACTAGCTGGTCCCAAGCCTCGTAGAACCTGGAAGGTTGGGTGTAAGGCTAGCGATCCGACCGCGAAAAATCAATCCAGTTGCTACAGAAACTCTAAAGTACAGCGAAAACATTAAAATAAAGTTATATTCTTCTGAGATCGGAGAGAGAAAATGACACAGGCTGGTCATATACTTCGGGAAGCCAGTAAGCCGATGTGTCTTGTAATGAGTGAAAATAACCTCGACGACATGGATTACCTTACTAATCTTTGAGGCTGGGAAGGTTGCAT